AATAGAAGTGGTGAAAAGAAGGCATCCTTGTCTTGTTCCAGTTTTTAGAGGGAAAACTTTCAATTTTACTCCATTTAGAATGATGTTGGCCTTGGGCTTAGCATAGATAACATTTGCAGTGTTGAGGTATGTTCCTATTATGCCTAGTTTTTCTAGTGTTTTGAACATGAAAGGGTGCTGCATTTTGTCAAATGCGTTTTCTGCATCTATTGCGATGATCTTGTTTTTTAAAATCTATTGATGTGATGAATTACGTTTATTGATTTCTATGTGCTGAACCAACCCTGCATCCCTGGGATGAACCCCACTTGATCGTGGTGCACTATCTTTTGAATAAATTTTTGTATGTGATTTGCCAGAATTTTATAGAGAATTTTTGCATCTATGTTCATCAGGGATTTTTTTTTTTTTTTTTGGTCTGAAGTTTTCTTTCCTCGATGTGTCTTTGTCTGGTTTTGGGATCAGGATGATATCAGCCTCATAGAATGAGTTGGGGAGGGTTCCCTCCTTTTCTATTTCATGGAATAATTTGGGGAGTATTGGTGTTAATTCTTCTTTGAAGGTCTTGAACACATGAGCATAGTCCATTTAATAATAATCGAATAAATTATTATGTGCATTTAAAATGTAAAAAAATGTATGGGAATGATCACCATCAGACTTGGGATGGTGACTGCCTTGGAGTGAATGCAGGGGACTTCAGTTTCATCTGTGGTGGCACATGGTGGGTCAGAACATGGTGGAAGCCATCGTTGACCTTAGGACCTTGTTTTAAAGTATATATGTAAACGGCTAAACTTTTCTGTATCTCAGTTTCCCTAGCTAATAATAAATATGGCATATCTCACAGGTTTATCATGAGAATTAAATGGTTTAATATGTGTGAAACACTCGAACAATGCCTGCCAATCAGCAAATGCTATTTAAATCTTTATTATTATTATTTTGTGAGGACAAATAAAACAGGATTTGAAACAAACATGGCAACATGCTAATATTTGGCAGAGTTTGTGGCGAGTACAAAGGTACCCACTATGTTATTCTATACTTAAAATATACATTCTTATTTTATAATTTAAAACATATGGTAAAGATAAGTAACAAATCAGGAAAATCATGGCAATGCATAGAGAAGATAGCATGGTAATATCCTTAATATATAAAGTATATTGATAAATAATTTTTAAAGCGAACATCCTAGTGGAACAATAAGCAATGTATATGAACAACAAGCGAAGGCAATTTTACCAAAAAAAAAAAAATCGAAGAAATAGCAAATAAAATAGCCTTGTCCTGTTGAATTAGAAAAGGTAATAAGAATAGGATACCCAATACTAGCAGAGAGGCAGCTACTCACACATAGCTCATGGAATTGGTGAAAACCTGCCCCTGAGGATCATTTAGCAGTGTGTTGGAAACACTAAAAATGATTATTGACTACACAATTCAATTTCCAGAAATCTGCCCCATGGAAAGAATTGGGAAAGTTGTTTTAAAGTATATATGTAAACGGATACTTATTTGTTTGTGTTTAAGAGGGGAAAAAAGAATGCTCATCACAGGGAAATAGTTAAACTGGTTATGGCACTCTACAGTGCAATAGGCCACAAAAAAAAAAAAGAAAGAAAGAAAGAAAGCAATGCTGTAGAGTGCATAATTGGCACAGAAGCGTGTGCACAGGGTGTTCTGGGTTAAGGGCAGGTTTATAGCATGTAGAGTGTGATCCCATTAAAGACATGCCAAGGTCAAGAAGAGTTTGGGGTTCCCCAGAAGCCCTTCCACTTGCTGGGACTCCACCATGAGCATTGATGGTGGGCTTCCTGCCAAGAGTCAGAGGAAGTGGGTCCCCCCACTCAGAGCCATCTGCCAGATCCCAGTGAGCCTATCAAATATTCAGAGATGTCTCCATCTGGAGCAGCCCCTGCCCACTCTCAGCAGTCATAATAAATGCCTCTGATGGTCATAACAATCGCCCTCTCATAAAGTGTCCACTTTACATCCATTAGCTCTAACTCTTAGAAACCTTCTATGGAGTTATTATTATCCCCATTTTACATATGGGAACGCTCAAGGCTCAGAGAGAGATGGAGAAACTGGCCCAAGATCACACAGGGCAGACCCTGCTTTATACTGCAGGTCTGACTGCCATCCTCTGCACATCTTAAACCATCAAGCTGTGGTCACACGGCCTTAGAACACCTGATCCTGTGGCAGGAGCAGGTACCAGACTTCATGTACTTCTCAAGCTTAGCTGTGCATTAGAGTCACCTGGGAAGGTTTTTTTTTTTTTTTTTTTTTTTTTTTAATTCCTGTAACTGGAGTCATTTGGATGGGATCCAGGCCTTGGCATTTTCAAAGCTCCCAAGGTGATTCCGGTTCTCAGGTCAGAGAATCCGTGCATTCCAAACAGCACTGCCCCAACTTCCAGTAGCCTAGGAATCAGCACCAATGAGGATTCTGATTCGGCAGGTCTGGGATCATCCGAGATTCTGCTTTTCTAAAGAGCTCCCAGATGATGCTATTGGTACCCAAAGAATTTTTCATGTATCACTACCCCAAAGGCATTCCTAAGTGCAGGGCCTTTCCTGAGCTCCAGTCCCCAGAAATAAGTATTAGTTCTCATGGATCCAACAGTCCTTAAGAACACACCCTCCCTCGTGTGCCCAGGCAGATGCTGGGGAGGGTCACAGATGGGTCTCAGAGGAAGGGACAACACAGACCTCACCACTGGGGACTCTCTGGGAAGCCTGGGGCAGGAGCACTGCTGCCCGAGGGCTCTGAGCACAGGTGCATGAGACATCAGCTGGGCGGGGAAAGGTCCCTGAAGTCAGGAAAGAGGACCCAGCTGGTGCCTGCAGGTCAAAGGCCCAGCCCTTGTTTATTTAACAAATGCTGGTGGGCCACCTATGCACTGCGCATTATCCTAGGTCTAGTAAGACAGAAAAGTCCTTTCTATCAAGAAGCTTCTGAACAGAGGGGACTTGATGAACATGCAGCTGTCAGATGGTGGTAGGTGAGAAAGAAAGAAAGGAAGGAAGGGGACCAGGATCGGGATGGAGGGCACGTGATTTCAAGCACCAGAAGGCCCCATGGGTTGAGTGGCTTTTGTTCAGAGACCTGAAGGGAGGGAGCCCTGTGGATGAAGGAGAAGAGGCTCTAGAGAGAGGGAGCTGTGAGTGCAAAGGCCCTGGGAAGAGAACAGCAAGGAGATAGGATCCAAGGGATGGAGAAACTATGGAAATCGGCCTGGGTCCTGGGAAAGAAGCAGAGCCCAAGGATCCTTCCTGGAGCCACCCAAGAATTTGGGTGGAGGCTGAAATATTTCAAGTCATTCCCCCTACACACACACACACACACACTGCCAAGAACTTGGCTGGTGGAAGAATGAACATTTCCATGAGGGCCATGCCTCTCCAAGCCCACTTCTAGGGGCCCTCTTCTGAACAGAAGGGACAGGCAGATGCTGTGGCCATGGACAGATGTCTCTCTCTCTCTCTCTCTCTCTCTCTCTCTCTCTCTCTCTCTCTCCTTTTAGCTCAGAGACCCCTCAGGTGCCAAGGCTAAGGTGACCTCCCCTTTTGATTGTTGACCCCAGTGAGCCGGCTCAGCCATGCCTGACACCGACTCCCATGTCTTCACTGTTGCTGCAGACCCAGCACTGTTCCCAGAGGTTCCCCAGTCCTCTGCCCACAGCATTCCCTCCCCTCCAGAATTCCGTGAGTGTCTCCTCGCCTCCCTTAGGATAGCTCACGGCTCCTCAAGACCAAGGAGGCTCATGTACAGACCTCCGACTTCCCTTCACATCAGCCATCCCCCACTCTTGGAACCATGCCCCTGTTATAGCAATTGGCAGCCTTCAGGACAGCTGGCTATGGTCATGGCAGCCTGGCCCACCACAGTATGAGTTCCTGAACCACAGGCTCCAATGGCCAAGGCCAGGCAGCTTGGGATTCATGAATCAACAAACCAGGTGAAGCTCAGCCTCCACCCACTCAGGAAGGTCTGCTGGAGAGAGGGGAAGCTCAGAAGCTTGGAGGAAAGAGCTCTGGGTTATTCTCCTGGCTCCTGAACTTGATAGTTTTATGACCCCAAGGATCCTAACTTCAGGAGCCTTCCCTGCCCAGCCTACGCCTCATGCACCTGTGCTCAGAGACCTCGGGCAGAGGCGCCCCTGCCCCAGGCTTCCCAGAGAGTCCTTAATGGTGAGGCCTAGGTTGTCCCTTCCTCTGAGTCCCACCTGTGACCTTCCCCAACACCTGCCTGGGTACAACAAGGGAGGGTGTGTTCTTAAGGACTGTTAGATCCATGAGAACTAACACTTATTTCTGGGGCCTGGAGCTGAGGGAAGGCCTTGCACTTAGGAATGCCTTTGGGGGCAGGGATACGTGAAAAATTCTCAGTGCCTCAGTTTCCTTTCCTGTAAATGGGGACAAGGATGTTTTCCTCATGGGGTTGTTGAACGGATTAAAAGCTGCAATACATGCAGAGTATTCTAGTATTGCACCTGGCACATCACCAGTGATCCAGAAATGGCAGGTGGCTAACATTACAGTGGGAAGAGCTCGCAGGTGGACAAGGATTGAGGGCATTCTGAGCAGCAGGAACAGCACGGGCTAGTGCTCCCTGGGGAGCATTCCTTGGTCATGCCACCAGGAGTGCTCCCCAGGGAGAAGCATGCTGGAAGGAGTCTGGGGCTGGATCACCACCTCCCTCCTCTGCCTCCCCCACACCAGGGACTCCTCTTAGACTGAAGTCTGTAGAGTCCCCGTGGGCCCAGGCTGGTGTCGTGCTTGATGAGCAGCTGAGAGGGCTGGGACACCAGGCTGGAGAAGAGAGCCAGCACTGAGTGAGCAGCACTGGGGGGAGCCCAGGACAAGTCAGAGCTGCCAGGCAAGAGGAAGACCCTGCCAGAGCCAGAGTCAGGAAGTGAAGTGCCCTTGCTGGCCAGAGGGTCTTCCAACCCGAACCTCAGAAACCCTTGATCCCTGCTTCCTCTTCAGGTCTTCACCGGAATCTTCACAGCAGAGATGACCTTCAAGATCATTGCCCTCGATCCCTACTACTACTTCCAGCAGGGCTGGAACATCTTCGACAGCATCATCGTCATCCTCAGCCTCATGGAGCTGGGCTTGAGCCGCATGGGCAACCTGTCGGTGCTGCGCTCCTTTCGCCTGGTACCCAGCTGGACCCACTGCGGGGCGGGGAGGTGGCTGGGTGGCTGGGAACACCCCTCTCTGGGTCACCTCTCAAATGCCCCTGCTTTGATAAGTCATGCCTTCAGCCCCAAATCATTCGCTCAGTGCCCCTAGCACCTAGGAGTGGAGGTGAATGAGACAGAAGGAGACATCTCTCCAAAAGAGCAATCGGGGTGATGTCTGAATGATTTGCAAAGCCCTTCATGGTCCACAGTGTCCCCGTTAGTCCTCATAGGACCCAGGAGTAAGGCTGGTATTTCCACCTCCCCATTTCATAGATGAGGAGATAAAGACTCAGAGAGATGAAATGAATTTCCCAAAGCCACATGGCAAGTAACAGGTGGAGACAGATCGGCTGGCCACTCATCCAGGCAGCATTTTTAAAACTTTAATGTACACACAAATCACCAGGGAATCTCGTTAAAATGCAGAGACTGATTCAGTCGTTCTCAGGGGATGCCAAAGGTGCACATCTGTGAGCTACACTTGGAGCTCAAAACGCCTGAAAGATCCAGATGTGGGGCTGGAGTTGTGGTCACGGAAGTCTTCCTAGAGATAGCTCCTGAGCTCTGTGGGTGGCCCCTCTGGGGGATATAGGAAGGTAGAGTGGTGCAGTAAGTAAAGAAAGCCTGGGATGTGGGTTACAATCCTGATTCCATGGCCATGAGCCGAGGAATTTACAAGTTACTCCACCTTTAAGGGTTGGATTCTTCATCTGTCAAATAAGGTAGCAATAGTGCCAGCCTCATGTGGTTACTGGAAGTTCTGAATGAAGCAAATCATCTTAAGCACAGGCATGGCCCATGCATTACACATTAGCATGTGCCCCCTTTCTCTGTGGTACCTGAGAGGAGAGAAAGATGGAGGTCATTGGATGAGTCAGAGATGGTTTGAGATGGCCCGAAGGATAGCTGGTGAAGACAGATCTGAAAGAGGAAAGATGTTCCAGGATGGGAGAATCTATTGGGAATCTCCTGGATGTGAGACCAAGGAAGGTAGGAAGCTGGTATGGGACAAAGAGGTGATAAGTTGGGGGGCATGCGCTGGAGCTCAGAGTCCAGCCAGGCTGCTCTCAGAAATGGGTGCGAGTGCGTGCTCTTGGAGAAATGGGGAGAGGTGGGTGTCAGTGACCTCCAAGGCTTCCCTGAGCTTTCAAGCAGGAGCTGGGGGAGGGGAAGGGTGTTCGTCGGAAGTGAGAGCCAAAGTCCCTCACATGGACCTCTCCTCTTCCTCCCTCCCCAGCTGCGGGTCTTCAAGCTGGCCAAATCATGGCCCACCCTGAACACGCTCATCAAGATCATTGGGAACTCGGTGGGGGCGCTGGGGAACCTGACGTTGGTGCTGGCCATCATCGTGTTCATCTTTGCCGTGGTGGGCATGCAGCTCTTTGGCAAGAACTACTCCGAGCTGAGGCACCGCATCAGTGACTCCGGCCTGCTGCCCCGCTGGCATATGATGGACTTCTTCCACGCCTTCCTTATTATCTTCCGCATCCTCTGTGGCGAGTGGATTGAAACTATGTGGGACTGCATGGAGGTGTCTGGGCAGTCATTGTGCTTGCTGGTCTTCTTGCTTGTTATGGTCATTGGCAACCTTGTGGTAAGTCGGCCAGGGGTGTCGCACCTGCATACCCACCCACCCAAGCAGCATTTCATCCTCCCAGCTACCCCCAACCCAGCCATCCACTTACCCATTTGCTTCCATTTCCTCCTCTCTACCCACTCATCCAGCCATCTATCAAACCACCCACCCCTCAATCTCTCATCCATCCACCTACCCATCCGTTCATCCATCTGCTTGTTTACCCGCCCTTCCCTCTATTCACCTATCAACTCATCCACCCACCTATGCCCCCACTCACCCATCCATCTATGCACTTATTTTTAACCCATATATTCACTTACCCATTTGTTCTTTTATCTACCTACTTGTTAATAGATTCACCTCTACAGCCATCTATCCACTTACCAATCACACTCCCACCATGTGCCTCTCTTATCCATCTGTCTACTTACTTACCAATCTCCTGTCCATATTCACCCATTCAGTCATCCTTCAACCCCATGTCCTCATCCATTCATCCATCCATCCACTCCTTCATCACCCATCTATTCATTTGTCCATCAACCATCCACTCATGAACCATTTACACAAACATACACACACACACACCCTTCACCCTTCCATATATCCACCATTTATCCATCCATTCATTTATCACCTATCTGTCCTCTCACCCTTCTGTTCCTTAATTCATTCATCCAACTCATCCATCCATCGACCTACCTTTCTATTCACTTATTTACCAGTCCCATCCATTCAGCTAGCTACTCACTCCTTACTCATTGACTCACCTATCCATCCACCTATTTATTTATTTATTTATTTATTTTTGTGCCAGGAATTGAACCCAGGGGCACTTTACCACTGAGCCATACTCCCCACTCCCCCTTTTGAGACAGGGTCTCACTAAGTTGCTTAAGGCCTCACTAAGTTGCTCAGGCTGACTTTGCACTTGTGATCCTCCTGCCTCAGCCTCCTGAGTTGCTGGGATTACAGGCATGTGCCACCACGTCCACCTATCACTCACTCTTAATAGAATTTTGCTCATTCGTTCATTCACCCACTTATTTGCCTGTTTATTCATTATTTACTCATCTCATTAATTTATTTATTGACTCATCTATGCATTCTTTTATGGTCACTATCAACGAATCACCAGATGATTTTCAGTTGAGCTTAGCATATGTTCACTGAGCCCCTGTTGCATGTAAATGTTCCAAACACCAGTAAGCAGACTGAAGCAAAGGTAGCCTAGCCCCAGCCTTGACACTGCTCACTCACCTGAGAGAACTGGGAGGTGGGGAGTTGAAACAGGTCTGAAATAATTCAGACTGGTTAAGTGACCAGAGCACCATGGAGGAACCCATGGGTATGTTCCCCTCCAGCTAGGGGAATCAAAGAGGGCTTCCTGGAGGAGGGTTTGAAGCTGTCCTGATAACCAGGTGATGCGGAAGAGGTTGACCATTAGGTATGAACAGATGGTGGTCCATGTGGGGTCCAGTAGGAGATTTTTAAGCTACCCTGAGTAGTTTTGGTGGGAGTTCCTACTGTCCCATAAAGAGGAGCCAGGCCTTTGTTCCTATGGCCCCCTCTCTGTCCTAGGATCTTGCCTTGTGTCTTTAAACTATGCAGAAGTTCAGATTTAAGAGAGATCAAGGTCTAAATGCCAGAGGATAGACCTTAGGAAGAAACAAGGTTGAGGCGAGGCGAGTCTTTGGTTCAGAACCAAGTCAGCATCCACTGTGGACATGGAGCCACCTTCCTGGGCGCACAGGTGGCCCACACATGCTCCAACATCACGGCTGCATGGTCTGGCTCTGCTGCTGCTGCTATCTCTGTCGTGGGCAGCACAGAGTCACATCTGCGCATAGAGAGCTTTTAGATCTACTTTTCCAGACTGCTGTGGGATGAAAACTTTGGGCTGTAGATTTCAGAGCCTTTCGCCAAACCTGCCTGCTTTTACTTCCATGTGCTTTAACCAGGATAGGATAGGACAAGACTAGTTGTAGACAAACCCCCACCATGCAGAGCTCACAGCCCAAAGAGTATCCGTGCCCAAAGAACCCAGCTCTTTTTGCTGACCCTTGGGTGGGAGCCTCACTTAGCCCCTGACCCAGCCCCAGGGGCTGCCAGACCCTGTCTGTTCTAAGAAGAATACAAGTGTGCTGAGCACCGAGCCCCTGGCCTGGCTGAGCCGCCCCTCACACACAGAGCCCTGCCATTTCCGAGCGGATCTGCCTGGGGATGAGAAGATTAGAGGCTGCTGGAGGAGGGAAGTTAGCGCCGGCCCACGCAACCCCCTCCCTGGCCGCCTCAGGAATTGGGCCGCTGCCGGGCTGGCGTGGGTGGAAGCAAGATTGCCATTGAAATGGGAAGTGAGGATCAGGCAGGGGCTGGGGAGCAGCGGCATGATTGACGGGGAAGCACTGGAAGAAGCCGAACTTTGGAAGCCGTAGACAAGGGAGGACTCAGGTCCTGTGTGGGTGGACAAGGCTTCTAGGTGCCCTCCTACCCTGCCCCCAGCCTGGGCCCAGGACTCCTGGGATCAGAAGATGGGGGGGCCACATATGCAGTGAGGGCTGGAGTAGGGGACCGCAGAGGTCAGCAGGAACAGAGGCAGGCTGTGCCTGGGCCAGGCCAGCACCTCTGATTCACATCACATGCCTTGCCCCCAGATGACAACATCCAAAGGGCTGCCAGGTGTCAAAGTGGTCATCTGTCAGTGAGACGGCAGGGGAGGGGCTTACTCCTTAACCTTTCCATACCGTTTACATGAATGCATGTTACCTGTCACGTGAATACAGAGGTCTGGCCTCACTTCACCACCACTTTCACCAGAATCTCCTTCACAGCTTTCTGACAAGTGTGGCATCCCTGGACGGGGTGTGTGGCATCTCTGAGGGGCTTACAAGAAGTCAGAGCAGGAGCTCCAAATAAATCTCTGATAAGCACTGTGCACCCACCTTCACCAGCCACCTGCTGCTGAACAGGGCCCTGTTCAACTGCAGTCCCTCCTGGGGACTGGGAGGAGCAGACATCAAGCCCTCAGTGGGGACATTATGTCCCTGGGCTGTGCACCTGGTGATGCTCTTAGGCCAGTCCAACCCATGTATGCGATAAGCCCACCGCCATCTTCCTTTACCCTCCACAAGACTGGGAAATGGACTCAAAGGCAGCCCCTTGTCATTCTCATTCCTCGCAAAAAAACAAAACTTCACATTTTCAGGATGTTTTAACAACAAGCAATTATCCAGAACCATCCAAAGGCTGAGGGGTTAGACAGACTCTCCTTAAGGAGTCTCTCCTCCCTAACCCCTAAGAAATAACTTCAGTAAAGTACTATGCCTTCTGGAATCTCTTGGATGCAAACCCCTCCTCTCACCCCTGGCAGCAGAATGGGCCTTAGAAACACGGCTGACCCTGGCACCAGTCCCAGGTCCCCCACCCTATCCCAGTTATGTGGTCCCACTCACAGCACCCATTGGGTGCCCTTACAAGATAGACCCAGCCACCTCTGTGGGGCCAGACCCCACAGTGGTTCTGAAAGGCTTCTTTTCCTATCATTACCCTCTATTCTGCTCAATTCCCTGCGTCCTTCACCTGGAAAACACCGACCTAGAACACAGGGAGACAGGCTTCCATAACAGTAGCTGCAGGTCTTAGAGCAGAGAGCCTGCTTCTGGCGGGAGCTCACGCAGACCACTCTCCTCCTTCAGCATCAGACACACCAGCTCCTTTCTCAAGAAAGTCCTGAGAATTTGGGTTGCTTCTGGGTGGGAATCTGTCTTGTTCCTAGACACCCATTTCCCAGGAAGGAACCCCATGCCCATCCTGACCCCATTCCCAATGCTGCAGAAAGAGGTGAGAGAAGAGGAAAAAAGCCCTATGTATAGAAGTATCTGGAACAGGGATGAGGCCTGTGTGACCTTAAGCAAGCCCCTCTTTGGAGTTCATTTCTATCTGTAGCCTTTGATATGGTTCTCCCACTGAACCTGAATTTAGACTGCATGGAGAGCACTTGGGAGGAGGAATTTGAATTTCTTTTTCTTTCTTTTTCTTTTTTTGTTGGGTGGGGGGTACTGGGGATTGAACTCAGGGGCACTCGACCACTGAGCCCCATCCCCAGCCCTATTTTATATTTTATTCAGAGACAGGGTCTCACTGAGTTGCTTGGTGCCTTGCTTTTGATGAGGCTGACTTTGAACTTGGGATCCTCCTGTCTTGGCCTTCTAAGCTGCTGGGATTATAGGCATGCACCATTGCACCCAGCAAATTTATTTTTCTTTTATAGACAAACCCTCCACATTCAAGAGAATGGAGGTGGGGGCTAGGATGTGGGCCCCGACCCCGAGTTTTCCTATAGAGCTGAAGCTCAGTATCCATGGCATGGTTCAGCACCCAGGTGAGCCTGACCTGTCACCCCAACAGGTCCTGAACCTCTTCCTGGCCTTGCTGCTCAGCTCCTTCAGTGCAGACAACCTCACGGCCCCGGATGAGGATGGGGAGATGAACAACCTCCAGCTGGCCCTGGCCCGCATCCAGCGGGGCCTGCGCTTTGTCAAGAGGACCACCTGGGACTTCTGCTGCGGACTCCTGCGGCGGCGACCTAAGAAGCCTGCAGCTCTTGCCTCGCATGGCCAGCTGCCCAGCTGCATTGCCAACCCCAGCTCCCCACCACCCCCAGAGACGGACAAGGCACCTCCAGCCCGTAAGGAAACAAGGTTTGAGGAAGACGAGCGTCCAGGCCAGGGCCCCCCCGGGGATCCAGAGCCCGTGTGTGTGCCCATTGCCGTGGCTGAATCAGACACGGATGACCAGGACGAGGATGAGGAGAACAGCCAGGGAACGGAGGAAGAATCCAGCAAGCAGGTGAGGCCCTGCCTTACATGTTTGCAGCACCTTCTTCTTCAGGGCCCAGGCACTGCTGTCTGGAGGAACCAGCCTCGCCTAGAGCCCCTGCCTCCATAGTGGAGTGGGTGGGGTAGAAGAGAGGGCCTCTGCCCAACAGCTGATCTCTCAGAGGCCTTCCAAGACCAGTTACTGTTCATGCAAGCCCTGACTGGTCATAGGCCACTAAGTGTTCAGACAGGGAAACCGAGGCATGGCAAGAGAGAGACTGCTAGGAGTTCCTCATGTGTCTAAGGCAGAGCCAGAGCCCCTGGCCCCACAACTCCACCCTGACCTGGCCATTGTCCGTCTCCAGGACTAGCAAGGTGGCAGGTCTTGGCAAAGGAGGGGTGCCGTTTCCTGACCTCCTGACTGCCCCCTTTCCTCCTCCCATGCCCAGGGCTAATTCTGAGATTTAAAAATAAGCATCCCTAAGACGGAGGTGTCAGAGACAGCACTATCTTATCTCCCAACCTGTTATTTTTAACACTTGGGACCAGGGTCTGGACAAAAGAGACAGTCCCCTCCCCCTCCATTTTCCCTTGGCCTGAGCCAGACACCAGTGGCTCCTCCTAGGTCTGTAGGCCAAGCAGCGATCCGTGGTTCTCTCCATTTAGCTGGGTTCATTCTGGCTGCTTCCTCTGGCCAGCCCAGAGGGCACCTGGCCTAGAGCGCAATGCTCCCCCTGCAGGGAACTTGATCTGAGGCTCTGGGCTTGCTTTTGTCTCCTCCTACCTCCCTGTGGTCCCAGAGGCTAGCCTGAGCCCATTGAGTCAGGCTGTGGGACCGTGGCAGTGACAGTTGGGGGACAGGGAGAGTAGGGTTGCCAGGACTTCAGCTTCCAATTGTCTCCAGTACAGAAGAAGAATTGCTCCTATCCCTCTTTACCTCTCCTTTCCTTTTCTTGAGCCTGTAGGCTCTGGCTCCCTGGGGCCAGCATGGAAGCATGTGTGTGTGTGTGTGTGTGTGTGTGTGTGTGTGTGTGTGTGTGTGTGTTTGTGTGTGGGTGTGCATGCGTGCGTGTGAGCGTGAGGGAGAGAGAACGAGCAAGCAAGCCAGGGGGCTTGGGTGTAGCTGGGCTATGATGCCCATCAAATTAGTGCTGTTTGATGATCATCATAGCCCAGCCACACCCATCCAGGGAGTTGGGAGTGGAGGATATTTATAGATCTTTTACCTGGACTTACTGGGAGCTTCCCACACACCTGGTTAGGGCCCCTGGGGGAGGGTCTTCAGTGAGATGGAGGTTCTATGAAGAGGGCAGAAGGCAGGGCCCTTGTTGAATGGGCAGGGCTGGAAGCCCACAAAGTTAAGACTCTGGAGACCCTCTGGTAGGGTGGATAGGCTCAACTCACGGGCTGGGGTCTCTTCAGCAGGAATCCCAGCCTGTGTCCAGTGGCCCAGAGTCCCACCCAGAGCCCAGGGCCTGGAGCCAGGTGTCCGAGACAGCCTCCTCCTCCGAGGCTGAGGCCAGCGCATCTCAGGCAGACTGGCGGCAACAGCAGAAAGCAGAGCCCCGGGCCCCAGGGTGCAGTGAGGTAATGCACGCCTTTGTCCCTGAAGTTGGCGGGGCGCTGCTGCTTGGGCTGGTCCCAGGCTGGGAGAGGTCCCTGCACCAGCACGTGCCTGCATTTGCTGGTGGAAGACCCATCTGCAGAGAGCAGACTGGGCAATGTGTTCTGACAGGAGAGGGGTGCACAGGGCCATGGGGAAGTGGCCAGCCCAGGACCCTGCTGCAGGACTAACCCAACGCCTCTGTGTGTTCACCCTCTCCTCACTCCGTGTTCCCATGTTCTTGTCCTATTTGGCAACCTGTCCTGTGAATCTGCCATCCAAAGAGACCTTCAGGGAGCTCTGAGAACTGTTTTTGGCACCTTATCACCAGCTGCTTGTCACCTACACTAAAACAGAGGCCACAGATGGGAGGCCCGCCCAGCCTGCCATAAGAATTTGTTCTGGCCACACACACAAAAAAAAGTTTTACTTTCAGCCAGCAGTGGTGGCACACGCCTATAATCCCAGTGGCTCCAGAGGCTGAGGCAGGAGGATCATGAGTTCAAAGCCAGCCTCAGCATAAGCAAGGTCCTAAGCAACTCAGTGAGACCCTGTCTCTAAATAAAATACAATAAAGGTCTGGGGATGTGGTTCAGTGGTTAAGTGCTCCTGAGTTCAATACTCAGTAACACACACACACACACACACACAAAAAAAAAAAAAAAAAAAAAAGTTTTACTTTGATTTAGCTACCACCCCTTCAAATTTGGGAACTTTCATAAAAATCTGCATTTCTGGCTTCTCTTGAAAAAACTAGAACTGCTGAAGAAAAGTGGTCACCATGTCCCAGACTCAGGCTGGAGCTCCCTGACGTACTACAGAGCCACCCGCCTGACTGACGGTCACCTGCCTGGCCCCCGTAGTCATTTGAGTTTGTGGCCCCTGAGCAAAGGGATCATGGCGTGGCTAACAATACTGCCCAACCTGGCTCACGATAAGTGAAATGTAGAGGTCACGTGGGCAGAGAGAGCTCAGTGCTATTGTCCTGCCACCTGACCTTGCTCCTCAGCCCAGCATTATGACTTTCCCTGCTGAGAGACAGACCTGGGCAAGGATTTATGGTCACAGTTAGTTTGAAGTGTGAGGGTCTAGTAGAGTCCTCCTTCCCTCTGGGCAGGTCACAGTCCTCCCCCTGGATGGTCTTAACCTTGAAGGGGTGTGGGAGCAGGAATAGAGAAGACAGACAGTCACCGGAGAGTATGTGGACCTTAGAGTATGGTCATTTCTTCCTTTCTTCAAATCACTTCATGATGGGCCCTGTCAAAGGGAGAGAGAAAGAGAGAAAAAGAGGGAGGGGAGGGGGAGAGAAAGAGAGAGATGCCAGGGTTTTTCCCCAGGAAAGGACTTCCATGTCTCATCTGCAGGAAGATCCTAAAAAGTGTCCTCCAAGTGACAGCCCCGTGTATTTTAGGCATTGTCAGCATCTGGGCCTTCTTGGCCTACCCCTTTCAGAGCCCAGCTGAGCTGGGAAGAGAGAGGAGGGAGCCTTCCAAGTCACAGAGATCACAAAGAAGAGAGCCTCACCCCTCGGGCCACTTTCCCCTGGAACTCGTCAGCCCTTTCCCATCACAAACCTCAGACGTGCACAAGATGTGGAGACATCAGCAGAGTGATTTTCAGAGGAAGGGACAAACAAGGCAGCCTGGAGGATCAAAGCTGTTTCCACATCTAAGCAGAGTGGCAGCCTCGTGGGCCTGGGCTGCTGTGACAGGGAGCCAGCTGAGGCGGGGGTTGACCTGGCGGGAGGCCGATGAGGGATTTCCTTTCTTCACAGAAACCCCTGATGACATCTGTCTTTAGCTTGGACTCCCTAGCTGCAGAGCCTGAGCTGGGGATGGCTGCATGTGAAGGGAGGGCTCTCAGGAGAGATCCATGAGGAAGGAGGGAGCTGTGAAAGTCCTGTCCACAGGGAAGCTCAGGAGTAGGAAGTGTGCCACAGGCAGGGGCTGCACTTCCTCAGTCTTGCTGGTCAGGCTCTGGGTGTTGGCCACCCAGGGGGTCACCACTGAGACTCTTCCCAGGATGGCAGCTCCCTGGCTAACAGGAGTTTTCGGGAGGAGAGGTCAGCTCAGCCACCAGTCTTCACAGCAGCCACCAATGGGTGCTCTGGCCTAGTTGAAGGGAACTGGGCAGAGCACCAGCAGTGGCCACTGCGACACCTTCATAGGCCCACAAGAGACACCCAGACACAAGGGCACACCCACATGCACGCACCATCAAGTTATCAGGCCCGGGCAGCAATTCCCTGCATGGCCGGTAGAAGGTTCTGGCATGTTCTCAGTCTTACCCCAGGCTCTGCACATCACATCAGCATCCCTATGGATGGGTCGAGAAGCACGGGCTGGGTTGCTGGCCTGTTCTCTGCATGTCTGACCTGCTGCTGTGTGTGCCTGCGGCCCTGTTCTGACTGTTCTGAATGTGCATCTGCATTCCCAATGTGTGTCCCCTGTACCCTCCCGGGTCTGTTTTGTTCCACCCCAGTGTGCTCCCAGAGCCCTTTCTTATACCACCTCCCGGGTCTAAACCCCAGAATACCAGAACCACAGACCCAGGAGCTCTGAGGCCCAGCCTTGGCTCAGGCCTGACTGGCCCTAAGTGTCTCTGCAGCGGGTGCCCCCTACCCTCCCTCACCTCAGATTCTCAGGGCATGCAATGGGGGGGGGTGACTGGGGCTCCTCCCCTGAGAGAGCCAAAAGCTTCCCCCCCCCCGACTCTGGGCTCAAGGCTGGAGGCTGCTTCCCAGCCCACTCATGCCCTTGCCCTCCCCTGCCCACAGACCCATGAGGACAGTTACTCTGAGGGGAGCACAGCAGACATGACCAACACGGCTGACCTCCTAGAGCAGATCCCTGACTTGGGTGAGGACGTCAAGGATCCGGAAGACTGCTTCACTGAAGGTACGGCTCTGGGAAGCCCTTTGCCCCAGCCTCAACCTCTCCCAGAGGGGACAGACAGAAGGACCAGCAACTCTAGCATCCAGGGCCATGTCACACCCACACGCTGACCTGGAACCACTCTCCTTCCCCGTTCCTCTGTGGCCCTGGGAGTTCTTCCATCTACCACTGACAGGAGTCATGGCACGTCTGCCGCGGTGTGCAGGGCTGGGCAGCTGAAGTACAGTAGCACCAAGGCCCGGTGACACTGTGTGGTGTGGTAGCCCAACTGTACATGCCCCCACTGCACCAGTGCCCCAGGCCCTGGCACATAGTAGGCCCTTGGTAAATACTTAAGGTAGGTGTGGCGTGTGGCCGTGTTAGTAACTGACTTCTATCGTTTCTCCTGAATTGGTAGCTGGGGACAAAATGAGGGTTTTCCCTTCATGTGACATTTCAGTAGAGGCTGTCACGGAGAGGTCTACTGTTCCCAAGGCTCTGAAACTGCAAAAGAAGGAGAAGGACTGGGGACAGAGTACCCCAGGAGTTTCTGAGCATTTCTCCAGGGGGGAGGGTTTCCCAAATGAGCAGAGAATAAGCTGGAACCCATGCCAACCCCAGTCTTGCCCCTGCCTAGCCCCACCAGGCTGTTCACCCATTCTCTGAATGCTTAGTCCATTCAGCCTCTCCACACAGTACCTGCTGAGTGTGTGGCCCTTGCAGGGAAGACCGACAGTCCTCCCCCACCATGGGCCCACCGGCCATGTTGCCCTGTTTACTACCCCATTAGTGCAACCTCTTTCTCTCACTCATTCCCTCAGCTCCACCGCCTTCTGCCCATCAGTCATGGGCATTGACAGGCCCTGAGCTGGGCCTATCTGTCACCCTCTCCCATAGGCTGCGTCCGGCGCTGTCCCTGCTGCGCAGTGGACACCACACAGGCCCCAGGCAAGGTCTGGTGGCGACTGCGCAAGACCTGCTACCGCATCGTGGAGCACAGCTGGTTCGAGACATTCATCATCTTCATGATCCTGCTCAGCAGTGGAGCTCTGGTACTCTCCCCGGGATGCAGAGTTGGGGCAGGGAGGGCTGGAGAAGGAGGGGAGGGCAGGAAAATGAGGTCTCCAGCTAGAAAGCCAGGTCAGGAAACTGGGGCAGAACCTCTGCTTGAAAATGTGATCCCCAGACTCCTGGAACAGAGTACCGCTCACAAACTCCATGCCCACAGCATGCGTGGAGGCCAGACCAGGGAGGGATGGCGGAGGCCATGTGTCCAGCCCCCTTCCTTGTTCCACGAAAGAGAAATGGGATGCCCCAGATCACCAACCTCCCACACTGCAGCTCTGGTGACTCACCTGCCTGCATAGAGAGAGCATCAGGCATTCTTTCAGGCCATTATAATAAAGTTAAAACTGAGGGTACAGTGGTAGCTCCACTCAGTTCCTCTTCCAGGGAGGCAGGCCACGTAGTTCACACATTTTCATTAATGCCTACAACAAATCTTTGCGGCAACATTAAGTAATACTTCCAAATTCCCACCCGTCGGGAGCCACAGATCTGGCATGTGAACCCAGGCAGTCAGATTCCACAGTCCTTTGTCTCGACCTTCCATTTATTTGTTCAATAGATTTTTTTTCTATACTCTCCTTGTATCTTTCGAAGTGAGCTGTGGGGGAGCAACAGGAAAAGGAGACCTCAGGCCTGGCGTCAGGGGCTTCTAGTCTAGTTGGGAAAACCAGATTCAGGAAGTTTGATTCAGCACTGAGCCAGGGGAACTGGAGCAATCAGGGGAGACTTCCCGGAGGCAGCAGGTGGAGCTGAGCTGTGGAAGCAGGGAGGTTTATTGAGGCCAGGAGGAGGAGTGAAGCCCTGCAGAGATGCTCTATCTGGCTTTCAAGCACCCTGCTCTGATCTCTCAGGAGAGCCCTGGAGAGGTTTCTGGTAGGTACTAGTGAACAGGGAGAGGGCTTCCAAAGAAATAGAAAAGTTCCTGGTCCAGGGGGAACAAGCACCTGTGTTATTGGGGAGGTGAGAGCCCACACAGATGAACAACTAACAGGAAGTACGTTGGGCCACAGAATGGGAGGAAGGGCACTTTAATCCAAAGCTATCTGTGGGGAGGCACTGTGGCTGTCACATCTCAACCTCTGGTCCTACTATCCGCCCCAAACACTGCCCCTCCCTTATTTCAGAGTGGGCCTAAAGCCATGGTTTTCAGTCTGCCTGCTGTTTTACCATTGGCAACCAGAGCCAAATCTCTGTGGGTTTCAGAGAAGGATGATTTGACAATATGTTAACAAGTTTTGTTTTTAAACAGCCACAAGCAAGGGCAGCCAGAGCCATTTAGTCTGGGCTGTGGAGGAAAATCTCAGCCTGGCATAAGTGAGGAGGAGTTTTGGCAAGCATCTGGTGAATCTGATCAGGGGAGACAGCTAAGCACTGTTGTTAAAAAAAAAAAAAAAGCACCATGTCAGTGATAGATTGGGAAAAAGAAGTCTTCAGTGTTTTATTTAAAGTTACAAACTTGTTCAGCAGAAAGCAAACTATATCCCTTCCAAATTGCTGAGGGAACTTTTTTAAAAAGCAAAACAAATTTTACAACCAAAAAAAAAAAAAGAAAGAAAGAAAATTAAAAAAAAGAAGTAACAATAAAGCATAAAATAGCAGAGGCAAGATCAAACATGTTTTAATAATAAATATAAGTGGATAAAATTCATCTTTTAAAAAGAAAAGGACTCTGAATGAATTATAAAAACACACATACCAGCTATGTGCTCTCAAATGACAAACCTGAAACAAGGAGTCTCAGAGATATTAAACATAAAATAAAAGTTTTACAGGTTGAATATCCCTTATCTGAAATACTTGGAACCAGAAGTGTTTCAGATTTTGAATATTTTTCAATTTGGCAACATTTGCAACATTACCAATTGAGCATCCCTAACCCAAAATCTGAAATAGTCCAAAACCCAAAACTTTGAAAGTTATGTCAGCAACCAGAAGTTTAGGGAGTATTTTGGATTTTGCATTTTGGGATGCTCAACCTGTATAAAGCAAATGCAAACAATGACAACAAAAAACAGAGGTTTTGTTTGTTAATATTAAATGTGGTTTAATTTAAATTAAAAACCTTGAGATGAGACAGTGAAGGTCCAATCTACAATAAAAGTATAACTGTAATGAACAGCTTAGGATGGCATAGCACTGAAATATATAAAACAAAAACCACCAGGGGGAAAAAAAAAACAGGAAAAAATGACACAGTGAAACAGTACTGAGAGATTTACCACACTTCTGTTAGTTTTAGACAAACCAAGTATAAAGAACAAGACAATGGGGGCTGGGGATGTGGCTCAGCGGTAGCGCGCCCGCCTGGCATGCGTATGGCCCGTGTTCGATCCTCAGCACCACATACCAACAAAGATGTTGTGTCTGCCGAGAACTAAAAATAAATATTGAAAATTCTCTCTCTCTCAAAAAAAAAAAAAAAAAAAGAACAAGACAATGGGATATACATATGTATGTGTCTATATATCTATATATATATGTAATTTTATCTAATAAATTAACACCTAAATAGTACTATATGCCAGAGATTACTCTAAGCATTTTATGAACATTCATTCATTTAATTCTCACAATAAGCCTATAAGATAAGTATGATTACTAAGACAATTTTACAGATAAGGAAATTGCTAGAAATGCCAAAAATAGGGGCTAGGGATGTAGCTCAGTAGTAGAGCACTTATCTAGCATATGTGAAGCCCTGGGTTCAATCCCCAGCACCACACATAAAATAAATGAATAAATAAAAGATGAAAAACAAACACTTAAAATATGAAAGTCATTCTTAACCAGACCTTGAATAAAACAGAAAATACGTTGGTGCTAGGTTCATAAATGCTCAATAAATAAGTAAATGAATAAATAAGTAAAATAAAGAGGGTCATTTATGGACCAGTGATGACAGTGTGTAATAAATCAAAGATTATTATTCCACCAACTTTGCCTACATGAAAACTAGGAAAATAAGAAAAGAAGAATAAAGATTGAGGAAAAAACTAATGGGGCCACCTGGAATATAACATATTGAAAATACTGCATGTGGGATGCAGCCAAAGCTGTAATAAGAGGAAAATTCTTAGAGGAACACTTTTATCATTAAATAAAAAGAAAGTAAATAAGAAACTTAACAAAATTAGATAAATTAGAAACATAACAAAATAATCTTAAAGAAATCATGAGAAGTAATTACTGAATTAGAAAATAATATAAAATCTCAAACCTTAAAAATTAAAATAATAAAATAAGCCACTAGCTAATCTAATCCCTCACATCTCCAAAGGTGATTATTTTTACATTCCCAAGGAAGAAAATAGAATATTTTCTTCCTTGGGAATGTAAAAATAATCCTAAAAAAATATTCTAGAACATTAAAAGAGGTGGAAAGTCTACTGATTATTTTTATGAAAACTAAAGAATGCTGGTTTTTAAAATTTCAGTATACCGAAAAAGAAGCAATAGACCACTTTTTCATAGTTCATACTCTGTACTTACAAATAGTAATGCAAAAATCTCGGAAAAAAACCACATGCAAATATAATCCAGAAACATATTTAAAAGATAAAATATATCATAGTTATATTCTAAAATGTTAGTATAGTGCATATTAGGAAATATATTTATATGAATAGGACAAAGATTAAAAAAACATACAATTATTTCAATGAATGCGTATTTCAAACTCTGGTGAAAATATAAAGCATACTTTTTTAAATATAGTGAAAAACTCTCCAATTCTATCATCATCATTAGTAGTAAAGCCCTTGAACATTCTCATTAAGGTTAAGAATACAAGAAGGATCATTTAACTACTTCTTAGCTCTTGCTCATTATTAAATAACAGTCTTAAGTACCTGCCAGTGTGATTAATCAAGAAAATTAAACACACAGTGTAAAAATTCAAAAATGGAAGAAAGTGAAGTCAATACAATCAGTTGAGCATAAAAGCAAGAATTAAAAATAATAGAAATTGGGGCTGATAATGTAGCTTGGTGGTAGAGCATTTGCCCAGCAATCCTCAACACCACAAAAATAAAAAAGAATTAAAAATAATAGAAATATATCATGATTTGTGGATAATATGGTCACCTAGAACAATTTAAAAACCTTTCAAAAATGTTATATGTCTAGTTATAAAGTAACAAAGAATTGTTACTGTTGTTATTATTTTACACTAACAGAAACCACTTAGTTACAAATAACATTTCTCAAATATTCCTTACCTGCCAGACACTGTAAGCATAATAACTGGGAATAAATATAAGAGCTGGGCATGATGACGCACACCTGTAATCCTAGCAACTCAGGCGGAGGAATCTCAAGTTTAAAGCCAGCCTCAGTGATTTAGCAAGGCCCTAACAACTCAGTGAGACCCTGTCTCTAAATAAAACATATAAGCCAGGCATGGTGATACATGCCTGCAATCCCAGCAGCTCGAGAAGCTGAGGCAGAAGGATCCTGAGTTTAAAGCTAGCCTCAGCAACAGTGAGGCACTAAGCAACTCTGTGAGACCCTGCCTCTAAATAAAATTCAAAATAGGGCTGGGGATGTGGCTTAGTGGTTAAATGCTGCTGGGTTCAATCCCCGGTATAAAAAAGAAAAGAAAAGAAAGAAAGAAAACCATATATATATAAAAGTATAAAACTTTGCTAAAAAGCATTTTAAAAAACAAATAGAATTCATACTCCAATCTCACATAGGAAGACTCTGTATTAGTTTCTAAAGCATTTAATAGATTCCATGTGATAGCAGTAAATTTTATCCCTTTTTGAGTGAATTTGACAAACAAAGTTTATCATGAAAATTACAAAAAAGGTCCTAAGAAATTCATGTGATATTAATGCGGGAATAGACATCATCAGACCCACACAGAGGAGCTTAGCTCAGTGGCAGAGCACTTCCCTAGCATGCCTGGGGCTGGCCTCAAACTTAAGATCCTCCTTCTTCAGCCTGCTGAGTCACAGGGATCATAGGTGTGCGCCAAAGCACTCAGGTCTAATGATGGATTTTAAGTGGATCACTTAATAAAGTGTTGAGACAGTTGTCAAACCACTTTTAAAATGTGTTAAAATAGGTATTTACTCTTTACCAAAACGTATTGATCTTTAAAACTGGAATACCAAACAATCAAACCACAAAACTTTTTAAAAAGTAGGGGACCCATTGGGTGCATTGGCACATGCCTATGATCCCAGCAACTCAGGAGGCTGAGACAGGAAGAGCCTAAGTTTGAGACCAACCTCACCAACTGGCCCAAGCAACTTAGTAAGACCCTGTCTCAAAATAAAAAATAAGAAGTACTGGGGATGTGACTCAGTGGTAAAGCACCCCTGGATTCAATCCCCATTACCAAAAAAATAAAAAATAAAAAAAAGGAAAGAAGGATTTTGTAGTCTTGGAACAAACAAGGGCTTTCTTGGTACACCAAAGATTTTACTAAGTGAAAATTATAACAAATTCTATAACCATATTAAATAATATACTAATAAATGATACTGACGTGGGGTAAACAAGATTTAAAGGCACACAACAATGTCGGATGAAGTATATCAAACAGAGTTAATGTGCTCAAATACACAGTACTCTTAAAAATAGGCAAAGGATATGAACAGGCAATTCACAAAAGGAAAACTGCAGATACCTAAGGAAAAATGTCAGCATTCCTGGTAGTAAAATAAATTAGAATGTAATGAAATACAGTTTTCATTCATTAGTCTGGGAAAAGCAAAAGAAGGAAAAATAACACCTGTGTTGGTGGAGTAGTTGGGGAAGCAGCCACCTCTGTGCTCTGTAGATGGAGTGTAAATTGCTGTCCTCTGGGAACTTGTTTCCCAGTCTATGCAAAAACCACACCTTAGACCTGGCCCCTCTATTCTAGAAATTTATCCTTGACAAGTAATCTGACACATTGTTCGCCTCAGTGTTGTTTCCGCTAAGGATAAACTGAAATGTGCACCCACAGGGGTTTTAGCTCAATAAATAGTAGAATATGCAAATATTAAAATATATAGCCCTTTAAAAGATTGATAACTATTATATGAGGCATTCACATTATTGAGTGAATAAAGTTTCACCTAATAGACTGTTGGAAAGTAATTTCAAAGTAAATAGTGTATCTTATAGAAATAATAGTGTATAAATTCTGTGTGCATTGCATATGGGTTTGTGTGTGTGTGTGTGCATGCATACGTATGCACACTTACACATCAATAGTGTCAAAAAGAGTGTTCACCTAAATGTTAGCCGTGGTTGCTTTAGGGTCATGAAATTGGAAATGTCAGTTTTTATAATTTCTCTATTATTTAAATTTTATAAGAAGCACACATTTTATTTCAGAATATATGTATTCTGAAATTAAGATATGTGTGCATACATCTATTAAGATATTGTGTCCTCCTAAAACTAAAAAATAAATATTAAAAAAAGAGATATACATATGTATGTAAATACACACACTTATATATATATGCCTGCTTTTTGTCTTGAACAACTTCCAAAGTCCATTTGGGGACCTGAATTATACCCCTGTGCTATCTACATGGACCCAGTTAGCCATATATATGCCTCAGCAGTGCACCTCCAGGCATTGTGAACAGCACTGATCCGCAGTTCAGTGCAGCACACAGAGGCCCTACAGTCAGGTGGGGAGAGCCAATAGTGGCAGGAGGAAGGTGCTCCCCAGGGCCCTCAGTGACGCGTTCAGTTGCCTGGATGGGGAGCCTCAGAGTGCGCTCTGGATGGCGAAGAAACTGTAGGCTCAGGCCCTTGGGTGGTGGCAAGAATGAGGAAGTGGGGAAAGGCCAACCACCACCTCAGCATTCTGGAGGCTTTGCCTCCTCAATCCTGAGGATAATAGGCGATGTGACTTCATCTAGTCCTACACCTCCTAAACTTCATATCCAAGATCACTCTTACAAACATATATTAAAAATTCTGCTTCAACTCTCGGTGTTTTTTTTTTAAATACATATATTTTTATTTGTCGATGGACACAATATCTTTATTTTATTTATTTATTTTTATGTGGTGCTAAGGATCGAACCCAGGGCCTCACACGTGCGAGGCAAATGCTCCACCACTGAGCTATAATCCCAGCCCCGGGTTTTTTTATTTACATATATTAATTGTCAAAGCAAACTTAATCACTATTACAATTGGAAGCCAATATTACTCCCTATGAATATTAGGGAGCTGTACAAAATAAATGGAATGAATACCTTTCTAATATTAAAACAGAATTGTGCTTCATTTGAGTCCTATGCACTGATATGCATTCTGCTGTCATGTATAACAAATTAGAACAAATAAATTAATTAATTTCTTTAAAAATGAGTTATGAATATTAGACCATTAAAAAAAACAAAAAAAAAATTAAATAAGTAGAATGAGTACAAAATTAAATAAGTAGAATGAATACAAAACCAGTTTTAGGGGCTTGGGCTGTAGCTTAGTGGTAGTGCACTTGCCTGGCATGTGTGAGGCACTGGGTTCGATTCTCAGCACCATGTATAAATAAATAAAATAAAGGTCTATCAACAACTAAAAAAAAAATAGTTTTACATTGTGTCTGGCAGAAAGCTATAAAAGCTTTCCATGATAAAATTGTTTTGGCAGTGCTGGGGTTGTGGCTCAGTGGTAGAACACTTGCCTCGCATGCATGAGGCCTTGGGTTCAATCCTCAGCATCACATTAAAATAAATAAATAAATAAATAAATAATAAAGATAGTGTGTCCATCTACAACTAAAATAATATTTTAAAAAATCCTTTTGGACAGGTTAATCCTAAACACACCCTAGACCAGAACTGACACCTGCTCCTTTGTTGTCCACCACTGTAGGACTATTTTCTGTTCTACCATTGGCCCAACCCCACCTTGGAGTGGAATCTAGCCCAGCATTGAAGGGAGGAATCACCCCTCAGCTCCCCTCCTCGGTTCCTCACCTCTGTCCCCGCCCACCTGGCAGCAGCCATTGTGAGCAACAGTGCCTCCTGCAGGATGGAGTTGGTAGTGGTCAGGACACTACACCCACCTGTCCTTACCCACAGGCCTTTGAGGACATCTACCTGGAGGAGCGGAAGACCATCAAGGTTCTGCTGGAGTACGCTGACAAGATGTTCACCTACGTGTTCGTGCTGGAGATGCTGCTCAAGTGGGTGGCCTACGGCTTCAAGAAGTACTTCACCAACGCCTGGTGCTGGCTGGACTTCCTCATTGTGGATGTGAGTGTGGCCACAGGTGGGGAACAGAGGAGGGGGTGGCCCATTGCCCAGAGAGGGATGGAGGAACTGGGCCCGTAAGAGTCAGCAGCCGGAAGTGGAGGTGCTCAGCGGTGCAGTGGGGCAGGCAGAAAGGAAGGAGGCTCTGAGTCTGAGAGACCCAGGACTTGACCTCAGGGTCCTTGCCATTAAAACCCCCCATTTGGAACAGGAGCAGGAGAGGACCTAGGTCCCTGCTTCTTGGAGTGACAGTTCTCTAGCAGTTCAGGCATCAGCCAGGGAAGATTGGGGGACTCACCCTCTTGGGGTGGCCAAAAGAGGAGGATGAGCAGACCCACCTGATCTGCAGTCCTCCCCATATGGACTGCGGAGTGTCTCAGGCCCGCTAGACAGCCAGCAGTGCAGAGCCTCCCTGCCCACACAGGGGATGGAGGGAGGTCAGGTAATGGATGCTCCAGCGGCAATGGCAGGTACCACTGGGGAGGATAGACCAGGATGGAGTCACCTGTGAGGAGGAGGGCTGAGGGTGGCTGCCTGGATGGCCAGGAAGCTGGGAGGACTCGCCTATCTGTGAGTTTGCCCTTTCTTCTGAGCACCTAGTTGGAGCACCCAATCTGAGCAGACGGAGTGGGAAGCCCCTGCCCTGTAGCTTCCCTGGCCCCAGGACACTTACCAGGATGACTGTCAGGGACCCTGAGCAAGGTCCAGGCTCAGCCTGTGGAAAAGCCCTGTCTGCTCTCCCAGAGGGTAAAGACCAGTGGCTCAGAGGGCTCAGGGTGGGTGCCATAGAGCAGACTGCACAGGGCTTTCCAGAAGGTTCCAGGTCTGCCAGTGGCCCCTGGGCTTGGCATTGGGCTTTTCATACCAGCCCAGACTGTCTGTGCTCAGTCCCTGCACACAACTCAGAGGCCAGAGGGAGAGGCTCAGCACTAGTAGTGGAACCTGACCAGGCCTAGCCAACCAAGCCCGTGCGGGAGGCTCTAGCAGGGGAGACTCCATGGGCTGGAGAATATGCACAGAGACACAAACCCAGGTTCCTGTGCCTCCAGTCCCAGCCTCTTTCTATCACCCCAAGAGGCCAAGAGGCGTCGATGCCATTGCTAGGCTGAGCAGGGCTGGGGGACCAGGGGCAGAGGTCTAGATGCCCCGGGCATCCTGGTCCAGCCCTCAGAGCCCTGCAAGTGGAAGAAGGCTCTTGGGAGAGCCTGGGGTCCTGACAACTCAGCCCTGAGGCCTGCTGTGGCTGCAGCTTCTTGGGAAGTCAGGTCTGCTGAGGAACTCCCGGGGGGCAGGCTCAGAGAGACTGCAAAGACTTCCACCAGCCACAGGCCACCCACCACTGCCACCGCCACCATGGGGAACTCAGAGCTGAGGCAGAGAGGGTAACGGGAGCTGAAGGCCTGCCTGGCTCAGGCCAAGGCAGGAGGGTGAGCTGGGAGCAGGCACCTCAGGTGACGGCCAGGTGGGGCCTTGCCTGTAGTAGGGCAGAGGAAGCAAATGCCGGAAGATGGCTTTCTTTCTTCCTTTCATTATTTAAGGTGCTGGGGATTGAACCCAGGGGTACTTTACCACTGAACTACCTCCCCAACCCTTTTTATTTTTAATTTTGAGACAAGGTCTCATTTAAGTTGCTCAGGGCCTCACTAAATTGCTGAGTTGGGGCCTTGAATTTGTGACCCTCCTGCCTCATCTTCCCAAGTTGCTGGAATTACAGGAGCACACCACACGATCAGCTGGAATCTGGCTTTCTTGGCACTGGCCATGCTGTCCAGGAAAGGTGGTCTCTGGCTCAGGATGTTTCCGGAACCTATTCATGCACGTTTTCAGTAAATGCTATGAGCATCTACTATGTACAAACACTGTTGTGAGCTCAGGGAATAAAACAGACAAAAACTCCTTCCCACGTGGAGGAAGGGTGACAACCAACAATAAGCAGACGAAATAAGTCCATTTTATTTCATGTCAGAATGTGAGATGTAGCATGGAAAAAAAGGAGGAGGGAAGATTAGGAGTCCCGGGACCAGAGCCAGGCTGGAAGGGAAGGTGCCTTCCCTTTAAATAGTCTGTCAGGAGCTGACCCACAGAGACAGCATTTGAGCAGATTTAAAAGAGGTTGAGGTTAGCCAGGCAGATGTCTTGCAGAATGTTCCCAGCAGAGGTTGGAATAGCAGTGCAAAGGCCCTGTGGCTGGAGAATGCCTAGGGGCATATTTGAGGAACTGCCAGGAAGCCAGAGTGGCTGGAGCAGAGGGAAGGCAGGAGATGAGGCACAGGAACAAATGGAGAGGGAAAAACATGGACTTTTATTTAGAATGAAATGCAAAGGCATCGGAGGGCTTTGAACAGAAGAGGGACATGGACCAGCTTTCATTCTTAAAGGATCGCTCTGTCCTGGGAGGGGCGGGGCGCACAGGTGGGAGCAGGCAGAAGGGTTAGAGGCTCTGGCAGTCACCCAGGGAGAGATGACGTGGCCTGGTCAGGAGGGCGTCAGTGGACGTGGTGATAAATGTTTAGAGGTCTGGAGTATGCTGAAGGCCGAGCCAACAGGAAATCCTGATGGGTTAGACGCAGGGTGTCAGAAACTGAGAGGAGGAAGGGACATCGCCAAGGCTTGTGGCTTGAGCAGCTGGGAGGATGGGGCTATCGTCAACTGAGATGGGGGGGGGTAGGGATGGAGCAAGGGGGGCCAGCCTTGGAGAGAACACAGGTGACCAGATGGCGTTTAGGAAGAGGACAGGCAGACTGGCCAGGCTTGGTGTTCTGGAGGCCTTGCCCTCAGGAGGAGGTCCCTGAGAGATGTCCCTCTGCCTCTCCAGGACTGAGGACCCAGAGGCCAACATCCTCAAGGGGTGGGTGGAGGCAGCAAAGAACTTAATCCCAGGGTCTTCTTCCTCCAAGCCCCGTTTGCCAGCCACCTGCCACCTGGTACTTCAAACCTGGGAGGAGGCTGTGTACTCAGGCCCTTGTCCACAGTCACCTACCACGAGAGCCATTTCCAGCCCGTGAGCACAGGCCAGCAGTGCAGGAGGAAGGGAGTGGATGACCATGGAGCTTTAGAGAAATGAAATCCACATGGTGGGGATGCTCTGCCAGGGCAGGGGGAACAGATTGCCGAGGCTCCTGTTGCCACCAAGTCCCCACTTACACTGTCCTCCTTAGAAGACGCTGGCAAGTTGCAAAGTCCAGCTTTCGTTCGGGGAGTGCCCCTGGGCGATTTGTTCCTGCTCCACCCAGGACTGCCCTTTCTTTTCCACCAGAGGTGCAATAGAATGTGACTTGAAGGAAAGCATTTGGGAACTCAATGCCTAGGTTTTGTGTCCCTGCTCTGCCCCAGCAGCAGGGTGGCTTCGGAACTTAGTTTTCTCACTTGGAGAGTAGGGGTGACCAAGCCAACACCAGGGAGCTAGAGGAGCAATTCAGAGTCTGTGTGGCATTGCAAATAGTGGGATCTCAGAAGGGCCTAAAGCCAGGACACCCCTGGGTTCTCCCCAAGCCTCTCAGGCTCCAGGACACCGGGCCCAGTGCAGAGTGGGCCTGCGAAGCTTGGGAGTCATGAAGATTGGACATGGGGGAGGCCCAGTCTGTCTGAGGTGGGCCCAGAGCGCTGCCCTCTGTGTCTTCAGCCACCCCCCTCCCCCCACCTCCACTTTCCTCCGCAGGTCTCACTGGTCAGCCTGGTGGCCAACACCCTGGGCTTTGCCGAGATGGGTCCCATCAAGTCACTGCGGACGTTGCGTGCACTCCGTCCCCTGAGAGCCCTGTCACGATTTGAGGGCATGAGGGTAAGAGGAGCTGCGGGAGGCAGTCACACTGAGAGCCAGCCAGGGACTCAGCCAGGGACCCAGCTGAAGCTGGGACAGTGGCCTCAGTGACTTGGCAGGAGCATGATTCAGAATCTCTGGGAGAGTCTAACTGGGTTGTGTTGGGGGGAGGGGAACCAGGGGACAGAGAGCTAGGCGAGACCACCCCCAGCCTTGCAGCCTTGTGGGGTCCAGTGAGGGCCAGGGACACTGGACAAGGGAGAGGAGGCAACAGCTCACTGGGCCCAGGAGCCTTGGTGACACCACAGCCCCATGGGCACCCAGGGCCCCTCCACTTCTGCTCTGCTGCAGGGTCCCCTCTCCGTGCGCCCACTGCTTGTAAGGCTGCACCCCCTGCCTCTCCTGGCAAACACAGGTGGCCTTCCCTCTGTGATGGGAACAGGGGAGAGGGGGTGGCACGAAGCCTGCTACACTGTCACATCAGGTGCCAGTTTGCAGAGGGCGAGAGTCACGTGCATGTTAACACCTTTGCGCTGTGTTCCTGGTGCAGCTGCCCAGGCATTTCTGGTAATCACATGTCACCAAAGAATGTGAGCATGGAAGGCAAATGAGCGTTAGCTGTGACACACAGCAAGAAAACAAATGTGTGTTGGTGTGTGCACTTTTTTAAACAAAATGTACACAATTTTGGGTGACTTCAGAGAACACTTCTACTGTCTATCTGACCCAGCAGGCACCATCATAACAGCTTGTCATTGGGTTGGTGGCTTTGAACCTTGACCACATCTCCCGTTCATGGAGAAATACATCACTTATACCCATTCACAAGTGAATAATCAGACTAGAGTCAAATGTCTCTTTGGAAGCAAGGACATTTGATTCCAGAGGGACACGGGGAGATGGTAGGTTCCAGGAATGCCTGTGGGCCACTGGCCTCAGAAGCCAACCAAAGGCTCCTACCCTCTCCCCAGGAAGCTTGGTGCCCTTCAGAGCTGGGTCAGGGGACATCATCTCTGCTAGGGAGCAGCATTTCCTACCTGGCTTCTGGACCTTCTTGAGCACACCATGGAGTCCCACACCAGCTTCACCTCCGGTGCTGTTCTTACCAGAACCTGGAGACAGTCACAGGCCCCTCCAGACATGTACCTGGGAGTCTGTTGGGTCGACTTTAGGGAAAAATATCCATCCATCCATCCCAGTGGCAGCAACTCTAAAATATACTAAAATATTAGCTTAGAGGCTATAAGAACCAGTGAGATTCCTAGGAGGCCCAAAGTCTTGGGGACATGTGCATGGCATCCTCAACTACCAGAGACCCTGCTTATATGAAAGTCAAGTTGTGAAGGTCATGGATGCAAGAAAGGCAGGGCCAAGAAGAGAAAGATGTGTATTCTGGAGTTGCATCAGACTTTAGGGTGCAAAGGAAAAGTGTCCTCTCTCTCATGTTCCTTACTCCCCACTAAGGCTCCTAGCCATGGAATTGGCCTCTCCCATGATTGGAGGATTTGCAACCCCCCACCCCCTCAGCACCTGTAGCCAGGGGAGTTCAGTCCACAAGGGATCTTGAAAAGGGCCTATGTTCCAGGCACCCCCAAGAACTGAGTCTCCTCTCTGTCCACTTGAGGTGGTGGTCAATGCCCTGGTGGGCGCCATCCCATCCATCATGAATGTCCTCCTGGTCTGCCTCATCTTCTGGCTCATCTTCAGCATCATGGGCGTGAACCTCTTCGCGGGGAAGTTTGGGAGGTGCATCAATCAGACCGAGGGGGACCTGCCTTTGAACTACACCATCGTGAACAACAAGAGCGAGTGTGAGTCCTTCAACGTGACTGGTGAACTGTACTGGACCAAGGTGAAAGTCAACTTTGACAACGTGGGGGCCGGGTACCTGGCCCTTCTGCAGGTGGTAAGTCCTGGCGAGAAGGAACTTCCTTCCTCCCACTGGCCCTCCAGCAGCACAGGCTTTCACCCCCGTGAGTGGGAGCAGAGGTGGTGAGGCTCCGTTGGATCCTCACCATACGGTCACAGGGTCCAAAGGAAGCTAGGGATTTCCCAGGGAAATTCCCTTGGTACCTTGGCAGGTCTGCAGATTTTCAGTTCTAGAGTAGAGACCATCTTCTCCAAGATGTATGGCATGTGGGCCAGCCAATAATAATAATAATAATAATAATAATAATAAAAAGACTCCCCCAGGTACTGAACTATTTGCAAAATTGTGATTCTGACCACCTCTGTTATGGAAGGTAGTGACACCTCTTGAGTTGTTTAAAAGAAAATGTTTGCTTTCACCTTCAATGTGCAAGACATGTGATGTTTAAACAGCATCCTTCGAGAGTTTCCATTGATATTTTGAATACAAAAGTTGGATAGCTTCAGTGCCTATAACATACCCCATAAAATTAACCTACTCTTAACTCTGACAACAGAAATGCAAACAGAACCATAGTGGGTGAAGCTGCAGTTTGCTTGTCTTGCTACCCAATCAGAAATCCAGTCACCTGTTGCTAGTCCCCAAAGCAGAGAAAGACTCAGCAGAGTATCACCTACAAATTCTGTGCCACCACTCACACCTTCATGTACACATAAGTTGCACTAGTAGCCCAGAAAGAGTCCCCTGTGGCTCCTGGTAGAGAATGGGTTCAGGGCCAAATGTTGAGAGCTGTCCATCCCTGTCACTGTCCCTCTGAATGTTAGAACTCTGGAAGGAAAAACCCTTTGTAGAGCAATAACTGCTCACCTTTGCAGCCAGAACCATTCTGTGGCTGGGAAGAATTCGGTCACAAGCACCTCATAACCTTGGGAAGTCCCCAGCAGTTTTCAAAGCACTTCCCAGTCTCTCTTTACAGGTGGGGACTCATGGCATAGAGAGATGACGTAGCTTGCCCATCTGCCCTGTTGTACGACTAGTCAGCTCTCTGTTAATTGAACAAATACCTGAGATAATGGACTTATAGGCCCCCCTTTACCTTTGGGCCTCTGGCAAGGCAGCTCATCATGGCAGAGCTAGGTGCTGGAGCAAGCTGCTCACCTCCTGGGCAGGAAGCAAAAGAAAAGAAGAGGAGCTGGAGTTCTACTAGCTCCCCATAAGGGGATGGCCTCAATGACCTGAAAATCTCCTACTAGGCCCCACCAGTTAAATATCCCTCCTCCCCACCAATTGCACCTTGCTGGGGATAGAACTTTAACATGGGGACCTGTGGGGGCATTCTAGACCCAAACCATAGCACCTGCCTGTCTCAGGAGGACCTCTAGACACAGTACATTTGCAGAGTTGAGCTTATATGCCATGAAAGGAGGCTCAGAGAGGAGATTTTGCCAAGACTACAATCGAGATCCACTGGGCAGTCAGTCTCACCATCTAGCATGTCTATTGGGCTCTTTCTGAATCTTCTTTCAGAAGCAGCCCAGCTTGGGGCCAACCGTGGTGCCACACTAGGGCCCCATCTCCATCATTCAGTCTCCCTCCCTCCTTACTCCCTTGGTGTGGAGTGCTGGGGCCAGCCCGTGGCAGCCCACAAGAGCCGATTGGGACATTTGCAGAAATTTTGCAAGCTGGTGGTTAAACACAGCCATTATAAAAAATTAAATATCATAAACATATAATTAACTAAATGATGTTCAAACAAAGATAATAAATACTCCGATCTCAGCATTACTTTGCATTATCATCTGTGCTGTTGAAGTTATTTTCATTGCTTCTGTCTGAACAGTAGGAAACGCTATAATGCTGTTCTCCTGTGTATCTCTTCCTGACTTTGGGTTCAGTCACAACACTCTGGCAACTTGAAATCAGCCATGGTGAGAATATTTAAATCAGAGAAATTGGTAAACAGACAGTGAGGAACTTCTTTTTTCCTTCTTGAAATTCATTTGTTAGCCACTTAACAGCACACCATTAGCAAAAGGAACCCCTTAAGTATGAGGCAAGGTTGGGATTCTTCAGGGACTTCTTCATGGTTCTCTGAGGTGCCTAAACAGGGCAGCACTGAATCGTGAACTGGAACAGAGTTCAAGACCCACCTCTCCATCCCCCACTCCCACCGTAGGAACTCTGTGTTGAGTTAGAATCTAAACTGTGCACATCAGAAGGGCAGACTCTTGGCCTCAGTCATGAAGCTTATTTCACACTGCATGACCTCCTTAGGATGTCTGCTCAGCTGCTTCCCACCCCGCCCCCCTAGCCCTAAACAAGATCTTTCCCTGGACTGCCCGGCCTTTTGGACACTACTGAATGGGTGAGTGGGGCTCTCTTGCTTCTTATAGGAGAAGCCCGGCCTCATTGGTCCAGACAAGGGCTCTACCTAACTCAAGCAAGATGCAAAGCTAAATGATTTTCTTAATCTTCTCTTTTTCTCCTAGGCAACATTTAAAGGCTGGATGGACATTATGTATGCAGCTGTGGATTCCAGAGGGGTAGGTTGTCACACTGACCTCTCCCACCAAATTAGGCACCTGAAACTCCAGCCTGTTTAGTTACCAGGGAATCTGTGTCCACATCTAAAAGCTCAGGGCAATATCTTCAAGGACAATGTCTAGTGTGTCAACCTGGGCTTCAGCATCCCTGGACATAGCCCTGAGGCAAAGTTGGGTGATCTCCCAAGAAGTCCTCCAAACTCAATATAGCGTACTCAGAATGGGCTGGAAGCAATAGAGATGGAAATGAAGTTTCTTCTTTCTCCTTTCACCCCACCCAATCACACTGACAGTTCATTAAACAGGTCCCAATATACTCCAACCTCCCAATGGCCCACAGGCTGAAGCCACATACGGACACAGTGCCAGGCCCTGAGCCCAGCATGCCTGACGTCCTGCCTGCCACCATTCACCCCCTTCACCTCTGTCCTACCTACCTCGGTCCCCACTGTTCTCAGACACAGACACACACACCTGCACACATCTTCCTCTGGACAAACCCTGTCCCCCAGAATGGCTCTCTGCCACACCCCCTGCCTGCCTGGTCCCTGAGGCCTCAGCCTGTCTGACCTCCCCGTCTGATTTCTCCCTTAGTATGAGGAGCAGCCGCAGTGGGAGTACAACCTCTACATGTACATCTACTTTGTCGTCTTCATCATCTTTGGGTCTTTCTTCACCCTGAACCTCTTCATCGGTGTCATCATCGACAACTTCAACCAGCAGAAGAAAAAGATACGTAGAGCACTGGCTCCACCTGGGCTGGGCAGGGAAAGGCGGGGTGCTGGGGACTGAGGAGCCATTCTGGCTCCAGGGCCCATCTTGCCCTCCCCCTTAAGGATGGTCCTGTTTCTGCTCCTGTTGGAATCCGGTGGGGGGTACTTCCATGAATATAGCTGTGCCTCGGCCTGTAAGAATATAACAAGGGGCTTTGGTGAGAGGCCTGCCCTAGTCTACCTGAGACAAGGCTCCCGAGAAAGCAGGGGTAAGAGCTGGGGGCTATTCACCTGATCTGTTGAGAGCCACTCACCCATTCAGCTGATGATTGGCCGGGTCGTGTGGGCGGAGCCAAAAAAAGTCCCCCAATGAGCAGCTCCGTGGTCTGAAAGGGCGGACAAAACAGCCCAATGAGCATCACTGCAGAGGAGCCAATCAGTTGGCAGCTAGAAGTTGCTGGGGCCGCTGTGAGCCAATCATCAGCTGGCAGCTGGAAGTTTTCTGGGGCCCCTTCGGCTGTGGCTCTCAACACTGATCCATGATTAGGGGTCCTGGGTGGAGAAATGCAGAGGCTCAAGGTCTTCCTGGAGTTCCATCAGACGGGCCACGATTGGGTTGCAGGTAAACCAGGTGGGTAGAAAGAACCCCAAGGCAGACTAAGCCAAGAAGAGGGAAAGGTCATAGGGAGAATTGGATTTGCAACTCAGAAAGCCAACAAGAACTCCAGATGAATGAGGACAGGGATCCTGGGGAAGAATTTCTGGTGCAGAAATGTTAGGGACATACTTCCTGCACCATGAGAAGAAGTGAGGAGGTAGCAGACCCTGGCACCCCCATCAAGGAAGCAAGACCCCTATGCCCTCCATGCTGGGCCTCTGAGAACCCCAAAATGAGTCTGGTGCCTGTCTCTCTGCACTTAGGGGGCCAGGACATCTTCATGACAGAGGAACAGAAGAAATACTACAATGCCATGAAGAAGCTGGGCTCCAAGAAGCCCCAGAAGCCCATCCCACGGCCTGTGGTAAGCCAGGTTTCTTAGCAGAGTGGGGAGGGTATTCTGGGGGAACCCTGGCACCCCTACCACAGCCCCATAGCAAGCCATTGGGGTCTCCTCACCGTCTTTCAGCCCAGCTGAGAGATACTGTCTCAGCCCCACACAGGTGGGGGCAAAAGCACAAGAAGGCTGTGGCCTCCAGGGGACACTACATATCCACTGGAACACCTCTGCTTCCCGTGAGCCTCCTCCTAACGCTAAGGGGTAGAGGTTTTCCCCAAGGAGAGCAGGTAGCTTTTGCAGCCCCACCTCCATTCACAGCCTCGTCCTTGGAGCCCCCTGAGCAGGCAGGGGGCTGTAATCAAGTCCCCTGGTGAACGGAGCCAGGAGGGGCTGCTGAGTCCTCCGCTAGGCTGACTCCCTTGGCCCCATCAAGTCATTCCCTGCAAAGGTGGGGGAAGGGTGGGAAGAAATACTCAAAAGAATTAGGTGATGTAACCTACGTCACTACCTCATTAGTGGCAGACCCACTTTTTAAGATCTCATTCATCATTTCGTCTGTTTACTATGCTTTGTTATAGGTTAGTTCGGTGTATATGTATATGCTTAATTAATTATAATATTATTTCTCCCCCCCCCAAATAATCTGGATTGACTTACAGTTAAAGATACACATAGGGCTGGGGTTGTGGCTCAGTGGTGGAGTGCCTGCCTAGCATGTGTGAGGCACTGGGTTCGATTCTCAGCACCACATATAAATAAATGAGTAAAATAAAGGTCTATCAACCACTTAAAATAAATATATTTTTAAAAGATGCATATAAGTATGAAATAGTTTTATTTGGCAGAATAAATAAAATCAATTCCATAAAAGAGTAGAGTGTATTAATCTAAGGTCTCATATAATTTATTAGGATTGAAGTTTTCATTTGACCTTCAGACTGTGGGAACGAAAAGAAGCACAATGAACAGTATGCTAAGGAAACTCAGGATGGGAAAAATCTCTCCCTGAGGATCCATCAGGGAAGGCCTCATTGGAGGGAAGGAGCTTTGCTCAAATCCCAGGGAGTGTTTAGGCAGGAGAATACAACTGTTTTCATCTCTGCAACTTCTTCCTCAGCACTCATCGCGGTGGGATGGTGGGGGCTTTGGCCTCACCCAAGGATGGAGTTGGAGGAGGGGTAGCCTGGGAGAGGGGCAGCGATGGGAGCAGTGTGCTAGCCCATCTGGGAAGCTTATCCCACTCCCTCCTCCTTTCAGAACAAGTACCAGCTGGGCTGGGGATGTGGCTCAAGCGGTAGCGCGCTTGCCTGGCATGCGTGCGGCCCGGGTTCGATCCTCAGCACCACATACCAACAAAGATGCTGTGTCCGCCGAGAACTAAAAAATAAATATTAAAAATTCTCTCTCTATCTCTCTCTCTCCTCTCTCACTCTGTCTTTAAAAAAAAAAAAAAAAAAAAAAAAGAACAAGTACCAGGGCTTCATCTTCGACATTGTGACCAAGCAGGCCTTTGACGTCACCATCATGTTTCTCATCTGCTTGAACATGGTGACCATGATGGTGGAGACCGATGACCAAAGCCCTGAGAAGGTCAACATCTTGGCCAAGATCAACCTGCTCTTCGTGGCCATCTTCACAGGCGAGTGTATTGTCAAGATGGCTGCCCTGCGCCACTATTACTTCACCAACAGCTGGAACATCTTCGACTTCGTGGTTGTCATCCTCTCCATCGTGGGTGGGTATGCAAGTCAGCCGGACAGAGAAGCCCGCCCCAGGTCAGGCCTCTCCTCCAGCCCTTTGGCCTCTCCTTAATGACAACACTAGGCTCCTTCCTTCTTTTTTCTCTGCATTCTTCACCCCTCCACACACACACACACACACACACACACACACACACACACACACAAACTCACACACCCCTTTAGAGAGTACTTGTCTGGAAGGGCCCACTTAATCCAAAGGAGCCAAGATGGCAGAAAACTCAGTACTCTCTCCTGATCCCACCCTCCTGGGCACCCTGGTTGTTCAGAGAGCTTCAAGGATGAGTTTAGGAGAGGGAGTAGGCACTGTGGAGGATCTTCTGACCACCAAAGGAAAGCCCTCACCTTAGGTTGAAGGAGGAAGAGACTCATGTAGGGTGAGGTGAGTTCCCCCCCTGAATGGGAAGTCGGTGACCTGCTAGGGTAGAAGTAATACCTGGAAATGGAGAATTCTGGAGTCCACCAAGATGTGTGCCAGCTTCCTTCAGACATCACCTGCTTCATGCAACTCACCTCAGCTGTGAGGGAGGAACATCATACAACTAGGGAGCAGCACAGATAGAATCTTCAGTGTGTCTGTTTGGCCTCAGATTCCAAGTTATTTATGTAATAGCTTTATTGAGATGTAATTCATGTACCATAAGATTCACAGAAAGTTAATTTATAAAATTCAGTTGATAGTATACAATTGGTGTGTTAACAATTTAATAACAGGGAAATATTCTGTGTCATTAGTCAATTCATCACTGAGTGACCATCAGAGTATACTTAATGCAAACTAAGATGGCTACAGCATCCCGACACAACATAATCTTCTTATAGGATCATTTTCATCTATGTGGTCCTGTCATTGACTAAAATGTTATGTGATGCATGAGTGGATATTCACAGAGCTGTGCAACCATTACCACTAATTTTAGAATATTTTCCTCACCCCCAAGAGAAACTACCCATTTAGTAGCTGTCCATATTTTCTATCCCTCCACCCCTGGAAATCACTAATCTATAATTCAGAGGGACTGCCAAACCTTTTCCTAAGTGGCTGTGTCATTTTACATTCCTACCGTTGATGTATAAGGATTCCTATTATTCTACCTCATCACCGGTATGTGTTACTGTATTTTTGAAATTATAACCATCCTGGTGGGTATGAAACACCATCTCACCGAGGTTTTGGTTTATATTTCCCTGGTGACTACTGATGCTGAATATTTTTTCACGTGCTTATCAGTCATTTATATATCTTCCTTAGAGAAATCTCTTTGCACAAATATGCTTTGCACATTAAAAGTTAGGCTATTTATCTTTTTTATTTTGGAGTTATAAGAGTCCTTTCTGTGTTCTGTATAATAATCCCTTATCAGATACATGACTTGCAAATATTTTTCCCAGTCTGTGTATGGGAGGTAGTATCTACTGAGGCATGAAATTTTTTTTAACTTTTATGAAGTCTAATTTAACATTTTTCTTTTGTCATTTGTGCTCAGAGCCCAAACTCTTGACCCCACTCCTGTTGGAATCTCTGCCTTTAGGGTGACTCTGACCTTTGTCTTTCTGCCATATGCATCCTTCTCTCTCTGGTGAGCCCAAGCAGTAATGCATGCACTGTGGTTGCTACAGTGATGGGCAGGTGGTTAAAGCATAAAGCAAGGTCAGGAATGCCCTTTGGTTCCAGATGGGGGTGTGGATGACAGTGTGCCTCGTGAGGCTGGAGAGAAGCTTTAGAGAACGTAAAACATCAGAAGCAGGAAGGAACCATTGAAGAAAGGCTTCCAGGGGTGCAACATGTACTTCAGGATCACCTGCTGGTCTCAAAGGTTGGGCCCTACAGAGAGGCATGAGTAAGAGGTCAACTTGGAGCCAGAGTGTCTGGGTCAAATCCTAGCTTCTCACTTAGGTGGCAACTTGAGTAAGTTACCTCGCCTCTCAGTTTCCTCTTCTGGAAAGGGAAGAGGATTATGTCAGCTCACTTTCTTGGGGTGATGAGAAGGACTAAATGAAATGATGGCTATAAAGTGCTCGGCCAGTGCCCTATTGACATGTGTCGGCCAGCAACATTATTATTATATGAGGAGTCCGGAATTGTCACTTGGACCAATAGGAGGCAAGTTTATTTTATTCTTTCTTCTACAATTTATATCTTTGTTCCTTAAAATTCCAAATCCATGTAGTCACTAGAGACACAGGGATGGGAAACCCTGGAGGAAGGCAGAGTTGGGAGGTGACAGGAACCATCACAGAGAGGCTGAGAGAAGACAGGCTTGGAGTGGTGACAGGAGCACTGATTCAAGGCCACTGTTTCTTGTCCTCCCTGCACAAAAATTATCTGGGCTTATTAAAAAGAAATCAGCTGGGGGGTGGAGCTGAGATTTTGCATTTCCAATAAGTATCTAGGAGCTACCACAGCTGCTGGTCCTTAGACCACACTTTGAGTAGGGAGGAGCTGAAAGGCCTGAGTTCTTGTCCAAGCTGGGCTGCCAAGATGCTAATTAAGTCCCCTCTGGCCTCAGAACCTGTGATGTAGAAGATGGGCCTAGTTCCGCTCTGTTGTGCAGGTATACCTGGAAGAGTAAGGAATAAAGGGACCAATAAGGCATTTTGCAAAGGAGGTTGGTCCTCCTTTCCTGGATCATAGAGAGGTGAGAGGAGGCAGGGTCCCATCACTTGATCCAAGTTTCCCGGAAGAGCCTTTTCTCCCTGGCTCCTCACTGTACACAGTAATTCTGGCCTGCAAGCAGGACAGAGGTGCCATCGGTGGCCACAGTCTCTTTTGTTTCCCGCAGGTACCGTGCTCTCAGACATCATCCAGAAGTACTTCTTCTCCCCCACGCTCTTCCGAGTCATCCGCCTGGCCCGAATCGGCCGCATCCTCAGACTGATCCGAGGGGCCAAGGGGATCCGCACGCTGCTCTTTGCCCTCATGATGTCCCTGCCTGCCCTCTTCAACATCGGGCTGCTGCTCTTCCTCGTCATGTTCATCTACTCCATCTTCGGCATGGCCAACTTCGCTTACGTCAAGTGGGAGGCCGGGATCGATGACATGTTCAACTTCCAGACCTTCGCCAACAGCATGCTGTGCCTCTTCCAGATCACCACGTCAGCCGGCTGGGATGGCCTCCTCAGCCCCATCCTCAACACAGGCCCCCCCTACTGCGACCCCAATCTGCCCAACAGCAATGGCTCCCGGGGGAACTGTGGGAGCCCAGCCGTGGGCATCCTCTTCTTCACCACCTACATCATCATCTCCTTCCTCATCGTGGTCAACATGTACATCGCCATCATCCTGGAGAACTTTAGCGTGGCCACAGAGGAGAGCACAGAGCCCTTGAGTGAGGACGATTTTGACATGTTCTATGAGATCTGGGAGAAATTCGACCCCGAGGCCACCCAGTTCATTGAGTATTCAGCCCTGTCCGACTTTGCCGATGCCCTCTCTGAGCCGCTCCGAATCGCCAAGCCCAACCAGATAAGCCTCATCAACATGGACCTGCCCATGGTGAGCGGGGACCGGATCCACTGCATGGACATCCTCTTTGCCTTCACCAAGAGGGTCCTTGGAGAGTCTGGGGAGATGGATGCCCTGAAGATCCAGATGGAGGAGAAGTTCATGGCGGCCAACCCATCTAAGATCTCCTATGAGCCCATCACCACCACACTCCGGCGCAAGCACGAGGAGGTGTCGGCCACGGTCATCCAGCGGGCCTTCCGGAGGCACTTGCTGCAGCGCTCCGTGAAGCACGCCTCCTTCCTCTTCCGCCAGCGGGTGGGCAGCAGTGGTCTCTCCGAAGAGGATGCCCCTGAGCGAGAGGGTCTCATCGCCTACATGATGAATGAGAATTTCTCCCAGCGTGGTGGCCCACCCTCCAGCTCCTCCATCTCCTCCACGTCCTTCCCACCCTCCTATGACAGTGTCACCAGGGCCACTAGCGATAACCTCCAGCTGCGGGTATCTGACTACAGCCACAGCGAAGATCTCGCAGACTTCCCCCCATCCCCGGACAGGGACCGCGAGTCAATAGTGTGAGCCTAGCCCCAGCTGGCCAGGACACACCCTGTTGTATCAGGACACACCTGAATACGCTCAAAATCAGCATCTGCTGGGGCCTTCCCGGCTTTGAGTTTGGGGGTGAGCAGCAGGTCTCAGCCCCGTGGATCCACAAGGCAGAGTTCTGTGGCAACTGTGTTGACAGTTGGAGGAGCCCGTGGCCACCTTGGGAGGCCTGTCCCTGGAGGCTCTACACAGCAGTGGCCTCTCTGGTGAGGCAGCACCCTGGGGCTCTGAAAAGCAACTTCATCCCAGCTGCTGAGGTGAAATATCAAACAGACTGTATATGTTGTGAATGGGCTTTCATAAATTTATTATATTTGATATTTTTTTACTTGAGCAAAGAACTAACATTTTTTTTTCCCCATGGGTGAAGGCAGCAATTCCTGCTGCCTCTTCTCAACCCTGAACAAGAGTGTCTACGGAGCTGCCAGAACTCTGTCCTCAAAGCAAAAGTGGAATCCAGTGCGGCTCCCGCAGGCCTTCTCTGCCCAGGGGAGGTTTGGAGTTCCCCTGCTGCTGGGCTGAGGTGCCAGGAAGGCCAAAGTCCCTCACCCACTCACGCATGTGCACACACTCCCCACATACACAGAGGCCGGACGCGGGCCACAGGTCGGGCCAATGTCAGGCAGCCACCTGTATCCCTGGCCCCAGGAAGAAAGGCCTTTCCTTCTGGCTCCATGGATGGGGTTCTTGTCAGTGGAGCACTCTCTGGCCTTTCATTGTCCCCAAGGTCCCATGCCCCAACTCCCTGCCTTTTTATGCAGGTCACAATGGGGTCAATCCTACAAAAATGAAAAGCTTCCAGAAGGGAGTGGCCTTGGTCCCAGAGCTGAACTTAGTCAGTGATGCCCTTTCTTCCCTCCAGTAAGAGTATTAATGTTAAAGCCCAAGGGCACAGGGGAGCTAGCCATTCATGGCCGGCCCCACCGCTAGTCCCTCCTCCTGGAACCTAGCAGGCCCTGCCCAGTAGGCCAAGGGAAGAGAGGCCAAGTCATACGGGTTTAGAGCTAGGTTTAACCGTGCCCAGATGTGGGAGCCTCTCAGCCCATGGGAAGAAAGGAACCTATTGCCATCTCCCAAGCTCTCCTCCCAGTCTTTCTCCTCTGACCATGCGAGGAAGGGACTCCTGTGTGTGCCCCAGCTTGTCTCCAGGCAGAGTGGCATGGAAGTGGAGAGGGTAGCTTGGCCCTGTACAGGGAAGGGACCTTTGGCCGGTCAGGCCTGGTTCTCTTGCACTAGAAGGAGTTATTCCCCATGAGCTCCTCTGGGAAAGGGAGCATTGTGGCTCAGGGCCAGCTTCTCTGGCTCAGCCCAGGCACTGGGGGCACTCATATACAGGACCTCCTCCGGGGCAGGGTCCTGTGACCCTTGTGAGAAGGCTTTTTCAGGGAAAACTACCTTTACTAGTCCAATCACCCCAGGACCTCTTCAGCTGCTGACAATCCTATTTAGCATATGCAAATCTTTTAACGTTGGGAACTGTTGCCCTGGTGACAGGGTCAGCTGGCAGAGCCTGAGCAGGCAGGGGCACCCCCCACCACTGCCCGATTCCAGCTCTCCAGCAGAGCCACCCCTCTGCCCGGGGGCATCCAGCTCACAGGCCACCTCAGTCTCACCTGTACTCTGGGCTGGCTGCTCCTAACCTACCTCGCCGAGCTGTCGGAGGGCTGGAGGTTCCCAACGCTCATGGCACACGCTCGTAGCGGTGCCGAAGGGGGCACTGCTGTCGAGTAAAGTATTATGTTTCTTCTCGTCACCCCAGCTCCCTTGGTGGCAGCCCCAGCCCCCACCCCAAACACCCCCAGAGACTTCTCCCATTTTCCCTTTGAGTCCAGTGTGGGACTTGGTTTTAACTGTCCCCGTGACACTTCTCTGAGTGGAGATTTATTTTTGTAGCTCTCTGTGCTTTGCTCTCAAGGCTTGCAGAGGTGAATGCCCCTCCCTGGCACTCACTGCCCGCTGCCCATGCAGGAATGTGGCTGGGCGGCAGGCTGGGCTGCCAGCCCAGCTGGCCGGAAAGAGACTGTGGTTTTTGTGTGTATGGACAGCCCCGGGAGCCTGGCGACAGGTGTCCGGGGCTGGCTGCAGGCGCTGCGCCTGAGGGCAGGGACAAGGTAGACCTGACTTCGTAGCACAGCATGGCTCTCATTTTTTTCCCCCAGAACTACACAATGACCAGCAGGAGGGAAGAAGAGAGTAGGAAATAGGAGAGAGGGACACGCATCAAGTGCCAGATGTTGTCTGAACTAATTGAGCACTTCTCACCAAACTTCGTGTATAAAGAAAATACATATTTTTAAAACAAACCAATAAATGGCTTACATGACCTGGTCTGGGCTCTGTTCTTGTGCTGAGAGTTGACAGGAGTGGTGGCAGAGGCTCAGGCAGGCTGTGAGGAGGCCTTGGCCTGAGAAAGTCTGGAGAGCAATAGTGCTGGGGTGGGGGAAGGGAGATTCCAAAGACCAAGAGTGTGGGTCCTTTTCCTTGGAAAATAACCAGAAGCATGGGCCAGACCAGCATAAGTGGGGTGCAGGCAGAGCAGTGGGTAACCCAGGAGAGGACACCCAGGCCCTGCTTTCCAAGACTCGCAGTCCAGGGCTTTGAGTGGGGCTGGTGGACTGTACCCATGTGACACCTGGCAGTGGCTTCTCCGCCTCGCTCCTCAGCCCACTGTGGCTCCCAGCTGTCTTCCCAACCAGACACCAAAAGGACACCAGCTGCAGGACCTCTGTGCCACTGGATGCAGTGCTGCTGCCTCCTTCCTCATCTGCATCTCTCTGCCACATTTCACTCCATGGACAGCAGCCCCCTGGGGAAGAGCCTCCCCTCCCCTGCATTTCCCGTGCCCCCATGGCCACTATCCACTCCAGCATTTCCACCTGCTTTCTTTTCTTTCCCCAAATTTTAAATTTGTGGTAAAATACACACAGCATAAAATTCACCATCCTTCCCATTATTATTAAGTGTGATATTAAACACATCCACATCATTGGGCCACCAACACCACCATGCATCTCCAGGACTCTCTTCATCTTGTAAAATAGGAGGAACACTGTACCCATTAAACACTAATTCCTCAGTCCTCTCTCCTTCCAGCCACTAGCAATGCTGTGTCTGTGACACACACACACACACACACACACATTTTTTTTAATTTATTTTTTGTACCACGAATTGAACCCAGCAGTGTGCTTAGCCACTGAGCCACACCACCAGCACTTTTTATTTTTTGAAACAGGGTCTCGCTAAGTTGCTGAGGCTGGCCTCAAACTTGCAATCTTCCTGCCTCAGCCTCCCAAGTCATTGGGATTACAGGTGTGTGCTACCACATCCAGCTTGTATCTAGGATTTTTGACGACTATACGTGCCTCAAAAACGTGGGCTCACCCAGTATTTGTCTTGTTCTGACTGGTCATTTCGCATAATGTTCTCAGAGTATGTCAATAACAGCAGGTGTGAGAATGTCCTTCCTTTTAAAATGCCAAATAATAGTCCATTGAATGGATATATCACACTTTGTTTATCTGTGTATCTATTCACCCCTTAGTGGACACTGTGGTTGCTTCCATGTGCTAGCTAGCAATTGTGAATGCTGCTTCTATGAAAATAGTATACAAGTATCTCTTGGAGACCCTACTTTCAACCCTTTGGGGCATATGCTCAGAAGGGAAATTGTTGGAGCGTGTAATAATTTTGTTTCATCTTTTGGGGAACAGCCATATTATTTTCCACAGGGGCTGTACTATTTTACATTCCTACCTGCAGTGCACAAGGAGTCCAATTTCTCCATGTCCTCACAACAGTTGTTATTTTCTGTTTGTTGGTTGGTTGGTAGTAGTCATTCTAATGGGTATAAGATTGTATCTCATTATAATTTTTAAAAATTTGTTCTAATTAGTTACACATGACAGTAGAATGCATTTTGACACATTGTACACAAATGGACCAAACCTCCCTCCTCTGACTGTACATGGTGTAGAGTCACATCAGTAATGGAATCATACATGTACATAGGGTAATAATGTCTCACTCCACCGTCCTTCCCATCCCCACAGCTCCACCCCTCCCCTCAATCCCCTCTGCACAATCCAAAGTTTCTTCATTCTTCCCTTACCCCCCGCCCCATATGGATCAGCATCTGCTTCTCAGAGAAAACATTCGGCCTTTGGTTTTGGGGGTTTGGCTTATTTTGCTTATTTGATTACACTTCCCACCTTTATTGATGCTGAACATATTTTATACACTTATTGGCCATTTTTATACCTTCTTGGAAGAGATTTCTATGTAAGGCCTTTGACCATTTTTAAATTAGGCTCTTTAGGTTTTTTGTTTTAGAAGTTCTTTATTCTCAGCTATATCATTTGCAAATATTTTCTCCTCTCCAGTGGGTTGCCTTTTTGCTCAGTTGATATGGTCTTCGGAGTCACAAAATTCCTGTTTTCATGAAATCCAGTCTGTCGGTTTAATCCTTATTGCCTGTGCTTCCTCTTGTCCTTTTTTTTTTTTCATTTCTTATTTATTTATTTTTTTTAGTTTTCAGCGGACACAACATCTTTGTTGGTATGTGGTGCTGAGGATCGAACCCGGGCCGCACGCATGCCAGGCGAGCGCGCTACCGCTTGAGCCACATCCCCAGCCCTCCTCTTGTCCTTTTGATTGTCTTTTCAGCTCCTTCAGGAGCACATCCTCCAGGTCTGACTAAATGTGCAAGGTCTTTAGGCCCCAGGCCCTCGCCTAGGAAGAGTGAAAAATATTCAAAACATGGATTTGAAGACAACGTGAATCTCCCTACCACCCCTACTCCCGGCTCCAGTACTGGGATCAAGTCCAGGACCTCATGCATGCTAGGCAAGCCCTCCACCACCGAGCCACATCCCCAGCCCAAGAGTCCCAAATCTTTACCTTGATCCCTGGCTACTCCACCATGCCCCAGGCCAGCATATCCAGCTGCCTGCTTTGGGCATCTGCAAAGCTTTCAAGGCCAAAGTGTCCAACACTGACTTCCTCTATCTTACCCTCAAGCCTGGCTGTGAAGACACCCTCAGATGCCATCGTCCTGCTGCTCTCCCTCAGCCACTCACCTGTCCAACCAACCCCTGTTGGTTCCACCATCGTGGCGTCTTTCAAATCCCACCACATGATTCCATTCTGTTACCCCTTCCTTTTTGAGGCCAGTGTCTTGCCGCACGGAGACCACCTCCAACTTCATCCATTCCAAACTCTTTACTCAGCTGCCAGAGTGATATTTTAATCCAAGATAATGACCCCCTGGATAAAACCTCCCGGTGGCTTCTTGTAGCCTCAGGATCAAGGCAACCCTCCAAGGCCTCAGCCCTCCCAACCACTGTAACAGCATCTCTCCAACCCCTCAATGGCTCCAGGATCCTCCTCCAGCCTCTCCAGCTCCCTCCACCTACAACAGCATTCTCCTTCCTGCTCAGCCTCAGGGCTCACCTGAATGTCCCTTCCTCTGGGAACCTTCCCTGACACTGCCCAGCCCCTTCTCCATTTCTCGCCACACCCCTGAACCCTGGTACCACAGCACCCAATGTCCCTCCTTACAAATGCCTGCAGAGACAGTATGTGAACACAGAGGACCCCTGATGTGAGAGATGTCATTTCTTATTTCTGTCCCTCCCTGTCCCTTTCAGCTTAATTCTGTGGAGAGCATCCTCCTGGCTCTGGATGAGACCCAGGCGGATGGATCCCATAGCTTTAGTCTTGGATAACAGAATAGCAGCCAACAGTCACTTTTCTTGTAAATCCAGTCTCAGCCTGGCTCAGAGTGTCAGCACCATGAGTAGACAGAGTGACCAGATGGCTTCTCCTCCCCAGGCCAGGCAGACCATCAGAGGGATTCTCACGCAGGTATTTCTGTGGGTTTTCTTAGCAACGACCTATTGAACCTTCTCTCTGAAAGAAAGTGCATCTCTCTTCCAGGGGCTTCTTCTCTTGCCTATAGACTCCCATGGTTCCCTCTTCCTGCCCAGACCCCTGATCCCCCCAGGCAGCCATACTGTGGTGGCACACACTGGTTCTCTCTCTGCCTGCCCACCTCTGGTCCGTGGGAAACACTAGAAGCACTTGTTCCCATGCCCTGACAGCAGCACACTCTGCAGCACCTCCAGCCCCCAGAACAGCTGACCCCAGACCCTCATTCAAAGTTGTCAGGGCCAGAGTCAAACCACAGTCATGCATCTACTTGAGCTTTCTCAAGCCCAGAGAGGTCCAGACCTCCATGTCTATCATATCTCAAACACGCCTCCCTGAGAAGCCCATTGAAGCTCTCTTACCAGGCCTGGGTTTAGAAGGTGGCGATGTCCCCCACAGCCCCCTACCAAGAGAAGGCTGCAGGGTCCTAGTGAAAACACAGGACAGCTCTCTCCAAAGAAAACCCACTTTCAGGTTCCTTCCACCCTAATGTGCTTTCTCAGAACCCTTTTTAAAACCTAAAGTGGTTGAGTTTCTTTTGCTATTTCCCTTGTAAACAATCTGCCTATGAGAGACACATGGTGTGAAACCGTGGAACCCTTGACATTGGTCCCTTGGTCAAAACCAAGGCAGGAAAAGTCCACTCTAAAAAGTCCATTTGTGAAACTGCTCTTTCTGATAGATATAAAACTTGGGGGCATGCCTGTATGTATACCTTGGTGAGTGATGTCAAATAAATTTCTTACTAGAAACCCCAGAGGACAGAATGTAAAAGAAACACAAGGTCAGGCCCATGTCTGTTTTCCTTAATTGCATGCCGGGACCTCACCCAGAGACTGGCTTATGCTAGGAACTCAATCATGGTCTCCTGAATGCACTGCAGGGGTTGGTGTATGAGATGCAGCTCCCACCATGAGGCTGAGAGGGATTGGGGTCTCACTGTAGTGAGAGAAGAGACCCAACTAACTACCCACCTCTATCCAAGGCTTGGAGTCTGGGGTTCTCGGCCCCTCTGTGGGATCTTCCCCAGAAGCTCGAAGTGGGCCTTTGCTGCCCTTGGATGTGGGCAGGCTCACCTGGACATAGGTATGAGTGTGGTCAGGGACAAGGTCAGGAGAGGAGGCCTGTGCTTGCAGCAATGCTGCAGCTGTCACTGGGCCACGCTGGGGTGAGGCTGGGGTCCAGGCGGGTGGCTCTGTGAGTGACAGATGCCGGCTCCCACGTCAGAGGGAAGGCATGCAGCTCGAGGAGCTCAGCCCTTGGCAGGGAGAGATGCTCCTGGACAGACGTCAGCTCTCACCCTGGGGCCAGGGCTTTGGCAGCTCCCCTACCCCCATACCAGCAGCTTCTCCACCACCAGCCATGACAGCCACGAGACTCAGTGCCCTGGAGACT